TAAATTTGCAAAATTTTGAGGTAAAATTTTAATCACTTTTTATTTATCAGCAGACCTAAAACTTATAATAGTATGCTCAAAATCACAGCACACCTGGTCGGTGTTGCATTTTCTCTGTCATTTAGTATATCTTCAGAATCAATCAGCTTTTCTGAAAGCATCAAGGCATGAAATATAGCTTAGAATCATTGAATTATCAACCAACATCTTGTTAGAATTCAGCATACATATCGATACAGGGTTTGACAAATATTTTAAATCAAAACGTTCCATCATGTACCATTATAGTAAACGTCATAACGCTGTCTTCATGACAGGAGGGATTGTCAGCAGTGGCTCCGTGATGGCTCACTCCACTTCTTGTCTTCGTGGCTCGTTCGTCTTTATGGCACGAACGGCAGGAATGTGCAAAATCTATCCCGGATTAGTTGAGATGATTGAAAACGTTTATATCTGAAATTTGTGTAATGTCGGGAGAAATAGACTAGAAGCCGATAAAGTTAGAAATTAATGTTTTTAAATGGAAATTTCTAGTTAATTTACATTTTCATTTTACTATTGTTTTAATTTCTTTTTGAGCCGTAATCTTTTTCTAGGGTGGGGCAAAAGTCGCGAAGGGATTTGAAAAATTAATAACTTTTTTAAATTTTAATTTTAATTTATTTCCCTAACACAAAACTAAAATGCAATGTTTGGAGTTTGTTTACAATTTAAGTGTGAAAGATTACATCACGCAAATGACCGCCATTTTCAGCCTCGCAAAGTGCAGCTCTTGCAAGAGCATTTTCCATTACCCGAGTCAGAATATCTGGCCCCAAAGCACTTACTTCTGCTCGAATATTATCTTTTAGTTGCTGCAGGGTTGTGGGTTTATTAATATACACTTTTCCTTTCAGATATCCCCAAAGGAAATAATCAGGGGCTGTTAAGTCCGGCGAGCGGGCGGGCCAATTGAATCCTGAATTTCTCGAAATTAAACGTTCGCCAAAAATCTGCCTTAGAAGGTGCATAGTGGCTCGAGCAGTATGCGCAGTGGCTCCATCTTGTTGGAAAGTCATCGTTTGATTGTCAGCAAGAGCTGGTCTTAAGACATTTTGAATCATATCACGATATCGGTCGCCATCTACAGATACAGCATTCCCATCGTGGTCTTCGAAGAAGAATGGTCCAATAATTCGTTGAGACGTAACTGCGCACCATACTGTACATTTAAGCGGATGTAATTGCCTTTGATGAACCACCCTTGGGTTCTCGGTACCCCATATTCTGCAGTTCTGCTTATTTACGAAGCCATTCAAATGAAAATGGGCTTCATCGCTCATGATCAGAGAATGAATAAATTCATTATCTTCTCGAGCCATTCTTTGCAAGCGAACTGCATAAGTTAGTCGTTCTTGAAAATCTGCTGGTTTTAGTTCTTGCACTAGCTGCACTTTATATGGAAACAGATGTAAATTTCCTCTTAATATTCTGCGTAAAGACCTTTGAGACATCTGCAGCTCAGCAGAACGTCTTCGGGTTGAGGTTTCCGGATTCTCCTGAACACTCTCCTGAACGCGTTGAATGTTCCCTTCATTTCTTGCGGAACGTGGCCTTCCGCTTCGTGGGAGATCCATAACTGTGCCTTGTTGCTGAAATCGTGCCACTAAGCGTCGAATCATTGATTCAGAGGGCGAATTCCGCAAATTGAAATGACGACGATATGCTCGTTGAGTTTGAATTATTGAATGGTGATATTCAAAATAAAATTCTATAAGTTTGGTTCGTTGATTGAGGTTGTAACGCTCCATAATTAATCTCCAGGATTTATTTTACACGGTCCTGAAAAAAAAAATGAAAACAAAATAAATTTAAAAAAGTTATTAATTTTTCAAATCCCTTCGTGACTTTTGCCCCACCCTGTATAAAAGTTTGCTAATTGATATTTCTTTGAGTCTTCATATTAACTTCATTTATAATCTTTTTCATAAATTCTAGGCAATCCAGTTATAAAACCTTCTGCTAACGGTTGTGTTCCGTCTCCTCTCTATCTCGTTCTCGATCGTTCAGTCACAACTGGTTGGATTGCACGATACACATAGGTATACATAGCGGGAAAAGTCCAGCAAGACTCATTTTGGAATCATTGATCTCCTAGAATTGTATTGGACAAGTTCCCCTTATTTCATCTTTCTGACCAGAAGTTCACAATTTCAAACTCGCAAAAGACGACCGCCTGGCACTAAGGGAATGATAATGTCAGTTATGCCTCGGCGGGCGTATACGATCGCTGACTTTTTGCCAATATACAGGTATATGCTAATAAAAAGAAAATATAAATAAAAGTACATTACTTAGTATAGCTGGTGCAAGAAGCTTCACTTTTTTGAAGTTGACACCAGAGACATTTACTACGATTTTTCATGGCAGTCAACCTATCGTTCTGATTCTGACTCTTAAGTTACCGAGCTACCGAATCGTAGCAGCATTTACTCCAAGAGAAATTACTCCTCAATGTACTAGTTAACAAAAAAATCCATTACGCACTAATTTCATCAACGTCTGGTTCTCTAAATAGGTTGCAATTTAAATTTTTGCACAACAATTACTTAGTGACTGTAGATAGCGCTGTTTAGTGGACATTAGCAACTCGTCAACAAACCATTGTCCGCACAGTAGTTTTTCAAACGACCATACTACTTGTTTGCTTTTCATTCGTCTCCAGGACAACTAGACCTATCGCGTACAAATGAGTTGCTGATGAGCACGAATCAGAGCTGTCTCCAGTTGGTCATTGTTACAGAAACAGAAAGCAAACATGTCCATTTCATACGAATTTGGGTTCAGCCCCATCAACTGGAAGAGGAATGGTAATGGTTTAATTTCTAGACTGAGAAGTTATTATATACCAAGTTTTACAATCGTTGAAGGAGGAGAAAAACACAATCAGTGCTCCCCACGCGCATTGCGCCGATCGAATGTCTTAAGACATTTGCCTCGAAACGTAATTTTGAGGGTTGAGGTCGAAAACTTTCGAAGCGTTTCCCAACGCCTCGAGGCAATGTTTAGACCTTATGAATATTAGGGAGTTATTGAAATACTGCAATCCACTATAACTGCCGACCTTTCACTAATAATGGCAAGTAGAGACTGTTCTTAAAATTGTTTCAGAATTAGAGTTTGTTATTGTGTGCATTTCTGTGCACTATTTCTAACCTAGGAATATTGGGATAAAATAAACTTTTATCTTGTTTAAAAGTATACCAAGACTGATTTAATTCCCATAACCTTATTAATTATAAAGATTTGCTCTTGTTTTTGTACTTCTTCGTGTTTTGCAACTCGTTGGAGGTAAATATATCTTTTTGATTTGAATATTACGTCCAAAGGGTCCATGATTTTCACCAATTAAACTTACAATTAACGAACAGTACAAAATAATAGTGAGAAAATGGTAAAAGAAAACTACTTTCCGTATACAATTTCTTTTATCTGCGAAAACTACTATAAAAGGTAAGGGAAATTCGCACAGAAAGGAATAAAGTAGTCTTGGCTGTGCCACGATTTGAAGCGTCATGTATCCTGTAATAGTGGTAGGCACTAACTTTATTAATTCCAAGACTTATTTTGGTTTTACTGCGCCTGCTCAGATGTCAAATACGGCCAGGAATTATTAGTGCCTGACTTCATTTTTTACGTTCAATTACTCCCTAATATAATGTCAGATGTCACTTCGCATGCGATATGGTTAAACGTTTCGCAGTGTTGGTAATGTAATCCCGTACACCTACACAGTAATGGAATATGGACTGACATGAAATTTTACTCCGACTAATTTCTAACCATGAATTCTGAGTCCATTGTATTTAACATGAGAGTGCTATGGATATGAGGTATCCCATCTATCGTGAAAAATATATATATTCTGCCAATTTTGAGCACTTTTTGATAACCAAATAAAGTAAACAATGATCCATGAGAATGACAAGTGTTAACAATCTTATTCCCAAGGTTTTGATCACGGGAAGAAAAGCGCACTTTTGACGTTCCAGAAGGATCCGATCTATTTCTGAACGCATGTAACCGGTACATCAAATACGAATGCTAAAATTGTTAAGAGTAGTTCAAAGCACACTCTGTAACAATTTAAGAACGCAGCCCTGTCTGCGACCAACCTTAGAGAGTATATAATGCTGAAATTCATTTGAAGCTAGGTCGCAGTCTGGAAGGAAGGTTGGTAATTTTAAAAGATTATCATCACTGCTTGTCAAGTTAATCATCTTTCGTTATAGTAGAAAATGGTGTCAAGTAAGTCGCTGTACTTCCGACGCTATGCTTTCATCAGTTCGCAAAGGAAAAGTTAGCCACGAACATGTATAATAAAAAATTAAATGACCCTCCTCTCCCCGAGAGAAATTGCTGCAGGTGCACATGATCGTTGCGATGACCGAACCCGCGTGAATGATAATATTTGCCTTCACCATGCACAGCTCAGTAGCGTGTGGAACGAGGTTTGAGCGATTTTTGTTGTACTTTGTCTTTTCTCCGACACCACTGCAGCAATTTTCAAAAACTATCTGGTATAGTAATAACATTGACTAAAAATTTCATCGAAATCTGTGCAGTATTTCTCAAGTTATAGGCGGTTATAAGATTAGCGGAAATGGGTGACATGGTATTTCGTGATGTACATGTCATACAACATCCAAAAAAACATATCTGATTTTCGAAATTTTTCGCGATTACATTACTTCCCCGTCAGTAGGCGTGGGAAGTAAAAAAATGCTAATTCAGGACTATCCACCATTAGGAGTATTTGTTTTTCAGCCAACAGTTTCATTTCAAAGTAGTGAAAAAGCAATTTTACATTTTATCATGTTATGTAACTAGCTGCATCTGTAACTTCTGTCCAATTTTAGTTTGAGTAGGAAGAGATTAAGAAACAAACAAAAAAGATGTATTGTGTATTTAATTTATTAAAGCAATAATTATAAATAAATAGCAACACCCTAATAAGAGAGTCATACAGCATTTAGCATAGATTGAAGCTCACCACTAGCTGTCATCTCCTTAACTATATCCAGGCCACCAACAAGCTCTCCATTTATGTATAATTGCGGATAAGTAGGCCAATCTGAGTATTTCTTTAATCCCTGTCTCACCTCTTCATCAGATAGAATATCAAAAGTGTCATATTGTGCATTTAATTGGTTTAGAATTTCTATAATCTGCTTGCTGAAGCCACACCTGGGGGTATTGCGATCTCCTTTCATGAACAACATTATCTTGGATTGGCAAATCAGTGCTTTTAGTCTGTCCTCCAATTTGATATTATTTGCTTCAGTATATGGACTGTCAACTACATGTTTCTTGAGTGCTCCTGAAATTAAAAAAAAAAAGTAAAACACTATAGTATAGGTTGTGTTCCTGGCTTTGCTGTCTAGTTTGCAGTCAAAATATGAATTTTGTTCCATTAGAACATAAAGGATATATAACAAAAGAAGAAATCTCAGAATCGCCAATAAGAGAGCATGTAAGAGAAACAGGACATAGGGTAAAAAGGAAAGAAGTCTCAATAATACATGAAGAAGATAGCAATTACAAAAAGAAGGTAAGGTGAATCAGCCTGTATGAAATTAAACAACAATTGTCTTTCTAGTTCTCCTGTGGACTGTGACCCAATTTGGTTGAATATCCTTAAATTAAAGATCAAATTGATATTCTACAACCTATCTAATGGACCATGAGTTCTTTGTCCTCTTTTTCCTCGTGGTTTATTGTTAGATGCCAAATGCGCAGATGTTCAGCTTTGTCATCTCAATGCCAAACTATTGTCTCATTTTCTCACACGACAATCAACTTTGTTTCCTCTAGATTTTAAAGCATTCATTCTCGCGTTTCAGATGCAAAACAATGCAGTTGCAACATTTAGAGCGCTTTTGGTGCTTTCGGGACGATTGACGAGGGTGACGTATCTGATCATTAAAAAAACGACAGATAACCTCATACTCGATTGCCGTTTTGGAGGGCTGGACGTTCCTTTTTTTTTTGGGGACGCGAATGTCTACCCCAGGCGGTCCTGGGCTAAGCTGGATTTGCATGGTGCAATCGCAGCATGTTACAGGACTTCCTGAGTTGCATAATATATACCTTTTCAGTAGAATTCATTGTCAGTCTGGTATATTTTGTTGAGTAGTACTTGTTTTATTTTGATTTGGTTATCAGGTTTGAAGGATTTTATCACTGCAATGCATTTTTCTACATCATCTTTATTATTACAGTGAAGGACACCAAAAGGAAATCTTCAGGGTGTTAAATGGTGATTCTGTTTGAGGCGTTATTGTGTACTTGTGCTTGTACTGTTATAGGTCTGGTACTGCTTCGGACTCTACCATTTCTGTTTATCAGATTCTCATTGTGGAGTTCTCTATTGTATCCAGTATTTTGTTCAAATATTCTTTTTTCTTTGGTGTTTGTGATAATGTGTTGGTTCTTTTTGTTTTTATTGTATTGGCAAATTCAAATGTTCTTCTTTGTGCAATATTAATTTGATTTGATCCGGAGGTGGAGGTGGGTATATCGATTTTTGAACTACACTAGTCAGTTGTGTTATTCGTATTAGTTTGAGATTTGTACATTTTAGGGTACAGCTCACTTGCCTCAAAGTATGAAATATTTTCAAAGACCATAAGGTGTTTTACCTTTTCCTGCCTCTACCCTGGTTTTTCTGTTACCTTTTTTTTGTTTGGCTTTAGGACCAAGCCATGCAGCCAGAAACTAGGTTATTGTATATCTATATTTCTAATTATGGACAAACACACGACGTCACAATCTATGGCGAAGGCGAGATTCGAACTCGCGGCCCGGCTGACCCACGCGGCCAACCGAGGTGCCGATCCCTGTTACCTTTTTGCATCTAATACTTTCATAGGTGATTCAATGAAGCTAATGACCTCTTCAATTGAGAAGCTTGTATCAACCTGTCTTATGATTCTCTAGCACATTTCTATGTTGAATGGAATGCATGAATACAGGGTGTAAACATTATGATAGTCATTATTTAAATGGGTGATAGAGGGGGTTAAAAGAAGCAAAAGGTTTCATGTAACATGGGGGGTCAAAACGGCATTTTTTTTAGAGAAAAGCGACTTTAAAGTAAAACAATTCTGATAACGCTGCAAAACTATGCAAAAGGATAACTAACCACTGTTACCATTTTCGATCGATTGCCGGTTCAAGAAGAGTGATGATGACCGACGCGCTGTTGTCAAGTGTGTTTTAAATACACAATTTAATGAAACTTACTTTCTTACTGACTACAAATTTTGGCTTAGCTCAGAAAAACTTAATGCCATTTATTTGTTAATTACCAAATTTAAAAACGTTTTAGATTAGATTATAAAAATTAGTAAGATTTGTGGTGATTGTGGTCAATATAAAACACTTAAAGTTGTAAACTATAAAGCCATTTAGACAAAAATCTATTGACTTTTGGTCCATGGGTCATATGAACTTTTTGACTTGTTTTGACCCCTATTACCTATTTCAATAATGACTACCATAATGTTTACACCCTGTATTATTATACCCATTGAGTTTGTTATTTGCAAAAGTATTTGCTAACTCTAGGATCTCGACCCAAAGCCTGTTCCTTCCCTTGACTTATATGCATTTAGTGTTAGTAAGATTTAGATGGAAAATATCTTTTGCTAGCTGTAGATACCTTCTTTGACCTACTTGAATGCCTGTGCCTTCCATGACTTCATCAAAGACCAGAGTTTTTGTAGAATATTTCTTTTTTATCTAGTGTTGTTTTTTTTGACATTTTCATTGTTAGTGACACCCATTATTTTTTTCGAGCTCTACTTGTGCTAGGTTTAAATTATTCATAGATCTGGTTCGGGGGCAACTTCCCCTGGGAGTCTGTTTCCATACTTCTTTACTCTTCGTTCTGATGTTCCTTTTTTTGTTGAGAAGGCAAAGACACAACAATAGAAAAAAAAATTGAAGGAATAAATAGGTCTCTTGACTCACCAAGAAGGGGAGAGGGTATTTAACACAGAGTAATTAGTTAGTAATTTTACCACACCACTTGAATCATTGTATGCAGTAAAATATGACTTTCAACTCTGTAGAGAGGCTAGATTTGTTTGCTGCTTTTGCATGACACGCGTTTGGAGCCAGAATCCTAAAGCAAGATTCAAACTGAAAAACTCAATTGATTTAAGTCATTGCAAATCTGCAACATTGCCCAAATTATAGGGACATTATTCAAATAGCTTAGAAATAGAAGAGCAAGAGTGCGTACCTGTAATTTTAGGTGCGTCTGCACCATTTACGACTTCAATAAGCTTCCCACTTTTGAATAGCAAGACGGTGGGCACGGCTTCAATTTTATACTTATGACTGACCTCTGGTACGTCCTCAGCAGGGCAACAGTAGAACTTAACTTCGGCATAGTCCTTTTGCTGTTGTAGTGCCTGAAGAACTTCGCTAACCTGTTTGCACTGTTCTGCCCACGGTGCGTGAAAATGCACTACGCTAAGGTCAGGCTTCTTGATTGCATTCTCGAAAGAAGACTGGTCCTTTAGTTCAACCAGCATTTGGACACTATAAATTGTACAAATACAGAAGAAAATGATACGTTTATAAGCGAGTTGTACTTCTGTGAAAAAATCAATCTGTATTTTTGAAGGATTTAAAGTAGCGGTCACAAAACATATGAGCAGCGGTGGCGGACGTTGAGGTGACAGTGACAACCACGTGACAATTGATAAGTTGACAACCGCAAGTCAGACAACTGTCAAGTTGAGTCACATCATCTAGATTGTTATTAAGCCGCTCCCACATGATGTGGCGAAAGCCTCACAATGTTGGACATTCGCCACATCGTGTAGGAGAGTGCTGACGGATTGCATGTGTCCATCGTTCGCCACATGGCACGTTCGGGCTCTTGTGACGCTCCCACACAAGATGTCATGTGTTTGATGGTTTTAGGTTAGAACCAGCAGCGGTGCAAAATATTATTTACTTGATTGTTGAGATTGCGCTGAAGTATTTTGATTTAAATAATGATGTATGTTCCGTAACTAACTTTTGAGGAGCATGAATTAAATTAGTATATATACAAAGCATTGGCTACCATAACAACACTTTCTTCATGCTAATATCTTGTACGTTTCGCAGGTGAGTGTGGCTAGCCTAAGTATATGTATTTTAGTAAATTATAAATTATCAAGTGCTTACAGTTATTTCATTATAATGTGCTGTTGGAATTCAAGACTAGTTCAGAAATATATTGACTTGCATTTCATAACTAACGAAAAACATTAAATGATAACTCTGAATGTACTATCACGATTTTGATGAAATTTTGACCCTAGGTTACAACTATGAAGCTGACGAAAAATTCTGCAGTTTTTGAAAATCGGTATTGTGGCGACAGAGTTATCGTCGAAAAACAAACAAAAAACTTCGTTTTTCGACATTTCTGAGTCTTCTGACACACTTAAGTTTTGGTCGCTGAAGACAGGTTCAAGCGATAATAGACATCGGCACCACCATGCGTCGAACGTCCGAGACTAAAAAGTTCATCCCATCGTGTAGGAGACAATATTATGGGGTGTCGAACGTTGTATACAGTGTTGAAGGCATCGTGTGGGACCCACATTACATATTTTACCACATGACGACAGCATATTCCTACACTATCTCGAGAAAATGCTATCTCAAAATTTTGGGTTTGTTTTGCCTAAAAAGCACCTGTGCTTCTCACTCAAGGAGACTTTTGTGTTGAATCGAAAATATCTTAGTGCTAGGCACAAAACATATAAGACTGAGGAAGTGGGAGCAGCACGTTAAACAATGGCAACACCGTTGACGTTTGTGACATGGTTGCGCCGCCTACTTTCCTGGAGATCTGGAGGAACTATCAAAAGAATGCTAAGAATGCGCCTGGAATAAGCAATGCTAGGAATAAGCCTGAGATTACGTTTATTCATAATTTAAAATCTACTGAAAATGATATTTCCGATATTGAAGGATTACGTCAAGAACGTATATTCAAAAAAATGTCACTAATAAGAGTAATATCTCTTTCAGCAGTTTTGCAGAGAAAAAGCCTCAGAATAATAAAATCCAACCCTAATTATCAAGCACCAAATTTATTTAGTTTCAAAAAATATTCATATGCTGTTGACAATGGTATAAAAATTGTATTACATGAAAATATAGATAGATCTATTTCTCATTCAGGTTGAGTGTTGCAAAACACAAGTGTCTCACTTCATTGTACCGCTTCTTGATAATTCTGAAACAACACATCAGAAAACACTAATGTCATTCACAATTCTTTGTAAATAAGCAAGTTACTTTTAATTGGTTTGCTTAGTTCTATGCCTTTAATTTGTTGGCCTTTCATACTTTATATAACGGTGCCAACTACAAGGATTATAAAGAGGCTGAATCCAGACATGCAATTTTAAGTAATCTACCAAATACATCATGCCGATATGTTAAGTTCACAGCCTGTAGCACTTTATGACATGACAGTCTCCTGAAGTTCTGTATCTCCCACAATAGTCACAATACATTTCGCGTATACCATCACAGCTACCGATAGTGTTGCTTTAAATTCTATGCTCATTTTTTACGAAATATCTCCAAAAGCATCAGCTTTGATAATCTGGATATTAATCAAAACAAACACCATATTTGATATTTTTACATTCAGATAAAAATAGAGAATTCCGAATTTCGGCAAGCAGCACGTCACGTGATGCCGGTAATACAGTTACGTCGATTTTGCCTGGAGATTATGACCTTAGACGAGGAAAGAAAGAGGACACGCCATGTCCGCTTTAAAAGTGTGCCCAGTCAGACTCCAGGCTGTCAATCCAGGGGCGTATCGCCAGGGTTCAGTACCATCTTACAGAAATAAATTTTGCACTTGAGTGACGCTTAGTATTTGTCTATTTTATAGTTTCAATTTGAAATAACGGAAGAAAAATGATACTTTCTTCGTAGAAAAAAGTAAATTTATTACATTATTATTTACAAAGTATATTTTTATCGGTAATTTCTAATACCACAGATTCAACAAGTTTTTCATTAATAATTATTTTATTATAAAAATGAAATAGAACAAATCGAATGATCTATATTTTATTGTATAATACATTTTCTAGTTAATTTATGTGAAAGCATAACAACAGACAAAGTATTCCATAAAAATACTAAACACCCAATAAATATTGAGCAATATAACTAAAAAATAAATTATTTCATTTATGAAAGTGTCAAATCTCACGCAGAGTAGGTATATTCCCATTTTTTTTATTAAAAATAAACATGTAGTTTACACAGAAACATTTATTGAGTATGACATAGCGTTATAATATTATGGTACTTTAATTATAATTATTACAGTGTAAATTTCACTTATTGGTAAACATGATTATAATCATATATGCCTTTATTGAGAGCATTGTTCAACATGAATATCATAACTTGAGTGTGTTGATTGTGATTTAAAAATAATATATAAGTTATTTATTGTTATTTTATATTGAATATTTTTTTTTAATGAACATTCAGTATGAACTGAGATATTTTATTGAAAATAATTAGAATCTATATAAAAATAAATAAATTCCAGTTTTTCTATAAATTCCCACTTAATGAAATTCCCATTGTCATCTATTAGTAGTTTTCTTTCCCCAAAAGCATTTCTTATTAATTTTATCATATGCCTTGGATCATAAAAAACATAAATGTTGTTACCATCTAAAGAAAAATGTGTTTTTAATGAGTCATAAGAATTATTGGTTCCCAAAGTATTTGCCACTGCAATATTTGAAGGAGCACCATCAAATGTAAGCGATACAACTCGTGCTCCTGTAGCAGAAACTAATTGTATGCACTGTGAAACAAGTACACTTTTTTGATTTCCATTCAAATTATCTACAAGGAAATAGCCAACTGGCAGCTTCCAAGTTCCATTAATGTTAACAATTATCATAACAAATACCTGTTTGGCCATAAAGTTAGAATCATCTTCTAAATCAAGATGCTTCCGAATGGACATCTCATCTATAATGAGGCTTAATAGTACAGGCTTATCCGAATATTCTACATTTTTCTTCAAAACATTAATTGCCTCACTAGAGAAACTGGTTCAGCATTAATGGTCTTAAACCATTTTCCTATAGTGCTTCTATGGGGTAAACAGGTTTCAAAAGCATTTCGTACATAATCATATCCTCTTGGGGAGAAAAAACACAAAGTAATTGCAAACTTTCACAGTTCTGTCTCCATACTGATGCTTTTTTCCCAACTTACGCTTTTGTAATTCTTTCGTAATTTCTGACATGTTTTCAAGCAGAACTGAGCTTTCACAAGATACCAAATTATTTTGTTTTAAGGCTTTCTTTCACTACTTGTTTGAGAGAAACAATATGTCTTTTCAGTCTTCTCACCCGCTGATTCAAAACTTTTATTTCTCTCGATTTCTCTTGGCTCTTTACCCTTTCTGCAAAAAGCTGTCTTCTAGGATGCTTCTTTCTGGGGGTGTCTGGATCTTCTTGGGGAGGATCATTTTTCCTAGATGTCGAAGCTGTAGGTGTAATAAGCTGTCTAGATCTTGGATGTGGTCTCTTTGTTACCTGCAATCAAATATATCTCAATTACATTAATAAGTCCTCAACTTAATTAGTATTTTCATTTTTATTTCAGATTATAGTAATTATTGGTAGAATTTCTCTGTAAACTGAGTAAAGGAATAATTTGTTTTGTAAATTTCTTAATATGTTGGGTTAAGTATTAAATTAGCTTAGTCTGTAGGTGTTTTGGAAGTTCTTCAAAGATTGTAGGGACTGCATCATCCAAAAGAGAGGTTCTGTTTCCAACTTTGTAAAATGCTTTCAACAGCCTATTTTTTGTGGGAAACCAGTCAGCTAGATGCATATTCTTCAGCCAGATACCGTTTCTTGTTGGATCTTTAAGACGAAACCTGAAATACAATGACAACAATACTAAACTAACTTGATATTGAACATATTTGAAAATATAATAAATAAAAAATATCACTCCCGCCACTGGCAAATGACCGCCATTCAATCATAATAGTGATATAAAATTGATAAATTCAAACAAATCCTGAATGAAACACATGGCTATAACTAATTTAAATTATGCATTCAAGTGAAGTAGTACTTATATCACTGAAATAATATTGTTGCAGTCGTTTAAAATGGAGTTATAAAGTAATTAAGGTATTTACGTTATCAACACAACTAACAAATTTACCTGTGAAAGGTTATTCCTGGCACTTTATTCTCACTGCGATTTTTGCAATCAAAAGCCGAGCACAACACCATTCTTATTGAATAAAAAAGTCGCAGTCTTTAATACACAATAGCACAGAAACACAGAAAAAAAGGCTTGGAGTCGGTTTCAAGAATAGGACCCAAATAATGGCGTCTCTTCAATAATTGGGCACACTTACTGCGCCGGTCTGTGAATGCGCGTTACGAGTCCACTCTCTTTCCTCGTCTAAGATTATGACCTTGGTGTCGCCAATTCGCCCATAAGACGTTTCACCCATCTGATGTTATGCGGGTTCCACACGATGCTTCCAACGTTGTGTACAACGTTCGACACCCTACAATTCGCAACTGTGTCTCCTACACGAGGGGATGAACTTCTTAGTCTCGGACGTTCGACGCATGGTGGCGCCGTTGTCTATTATCGGCGTCAGTGTCGCGCTTGAACCTTTACAACTGAAGGAAAAATTATACAAAATGAACGATGGAACAATTTTTTCGAGCACCGAAAAATAAGTTCAGATCTGTCTTCAGCGACCATAGCTAATGTCTGTCAGAAGCCTCAGAAATGTCGAAAAATGAGATTTGACCGGTTTTTGTTCGTTTTTCGACGATAACTCCGCCGCCACTGTACCGATTTTCAAAAACTACAGAGCTTTATCGTTATTTTCATAGTAGTAACCTAGGGTCAAAATTTCATCAAAATCGTGATAGTACTTTGAGATTTATCATTAATTCAATCGTTTTCGTTGGTTATGAAATGCAAGTCAATATATTTCTCAACTAGTCTTGCATTGCAACAGGACATTATAATGAAACAAGGAATATGAAAAAGTGTTATGGCAGCCTATGCTTTGTATGTATACTATTTTAATTCATTCTGCTCAAAAGTTAGTTACGGAACGAACATTATTATGAATAGGTAGTTGTTCAAATCAAAATACTTCCCACATACCTCTACTTCAGCACAATCTCGGCAAACAAGTAAATAATGTTTTTCGGCGCTACTGGTTCCAATTTAAAACCATCAAACACATTACATGTCGTGTGGGAGCCTAACGAACCATGGTTCCCACGTTGTAACATCCTTTGACGCAGGTCAAATTTACCGACAAGAGCCCGAACGTGCCATGTGGCGAACGTTGGACACATGTAATCCGTCAGCGATCTCCCACACGATGATGTGGCGAATGATCATGTGTCCATCGCTGTAAGGCATTCGCCACATCGTGTGGGACCGGCTTTAGGCATAATCTCAATCTGTGATTAGGCTTCATGCTCCATGCCTACGTAAACCTCCTTTTTTCGTCTCGTCAACAAGAATTTTTTTAAATAAAAATCATTATCAATTTATTGCACTAAACATGACAATAATATTTTAACATGTCTTCTGAACGTTTACAACCAATACTGAAGAAACGTGATCAATTGATGATCGAAGATATTCCCTGTTTGATTTTATGTAAACCTCGATTAATACCGCTGAAGAGTTTTACTTTAGAAAAGCTGGATAATATGCAGCAGGAGGCCAAAAAGGCCCAAGAAAAGCAAACTAAAGAAAACTGACGCACTTAAAGACGCAATATAAAAGCAGAAATGAGTTATGCACCTTTGATATCGAAAATACTTTTTTCATTAGTATTATCATCTACTGTTCTATACCAGTATGGAAATTGGTTTAGGCATCGTATATTTGTCACTATAACTGTACTGTTAGCTTGGTATTGTAGTTTCTTAATTATATTTGCACTACCTCTTGATGTTATATCTGTAAGTATAAACGAGTGTTAAATTGATATTTTAGATATATATGTTATATTTGCTTTTAGACTGTCTATAGGCAGTGTTTGCAAGAAAATAAGAAAGTAGATCTTGTGAATAGCTTAAACATCTCAACAACTGCAGTAACACCAGATTGTCAAGAACCATGGAGCAATCTACCAGAAAGGGTATTTACCAATTTATGGAGAACTGTATATTGGAGCTCGCAATTTTTGACATGGTAATTACTTAACTATATCTAAGGCATCTTTGATTGATATCTTCAACGAGGTTATATAATGGGTGATGGTTCACATACCTTAACCACATATTTAGGAGTTATTGCACATTTAACATGTATACAACAGTGTAATATGTAATTCTGCACAAAAAAGTACTCGAATAACTAATTGTAGCGAATTGACCATCTGCAAAATTAGGCAAAATGCTCTGTATTACTCCTCAATATATTATTTTATTCTAATTGTTTATATCAGATTTGATGTGCTATCAACATTTGCTTGTCAATTGTGTGTTAAGTATAGTGGTATAAAGATCCAGTAGACCAAGATATGTTGTGGTGTAGTGGATAGGATAAAGGGTTAAGATAAAGGACCACAGGACACAGGTTCGGATCCACAAAGCTTGCTTTTTTCTATTATACCTGTGATGACTTGATGAAATACAACATGCATTTCCTATACAGCTATTAGTCATTGATGCAATAAGAATTCATCATCTACAAGCCATACATGCTCATTCTATTTTTTAAATTTGGCAAAATAAATGCTTTTTCACATTATGTATTGTGATCAATCAGCTCTTCACACACTTTAGATAATGTAAGTTTGCAAATAGGAAACTGCTGGTACACATATGGTTGTTTATATATTTTTTTACATTACTTGGATAAAATTTCAGAAACATTGTCAGATCATACTAGACAATTTTTGAAAACATAGGTATAAATCTAATCATATTAGACGAAAATACCCCTGGTTTGCAAAATAATTGTAAAGTCTGGTTTTATTGATGCAAGTTGTTCAAGGGAGTATTTAAAACATGAGCACATAAAAGGGGGGAATACTTTTTATTCGACTACAATGAGATTCAGTCGAAAATGTTGGCGGGAATGACAAAATTCTTCAAATATGAGTTTTAGGCATTTAAGTGACCTCCAAAATGAGAGCATACGTAACAAGATTCGACAAATACTAAAATAGTTATGGCCGAAAACCGAGGCAAAATGCAGGTTTTGCCACTTGTTGCTAATGCGACGATAATTTCACGCAGCTACTTGAAATTTCATACCTCTAAGTAACCACAACAAAATTGGAGGCGATTGGTCGAGTAGTTTTTGAGAATTTCTAATTGTTTATCCCAAAACGCCTGTCTTCCGGCCATCATTACCAGTTTACTGAGCAATATACAGAGTTCATTCAAAGGGCATTTTATAGCAAAATACTCGATTTTACTTTGCCGATGTGAATCACAAACCATTCCCAAAGATAATTGTTATTTTTATGCAAAAACCTAAGGGTTATGTTTTTTTCTTATAAACAAATTCAAACATTTCATATAATATGTGAGTAACTGAACATATTCGCTACTATATTCGAAAAACATACGTTATTATACACATCTAAAAACAAAGCTGATGTGTGTGATTTTTTTCAAGATTTCTTCATACTCTTGTGTATACATATTTAGAGCTGACATTTTACAAGGTCACAAATGAGCCTTAAAGTTTATAAAAAAGGATATTCCATACTGAAATGCGCTGAACTGTTTATAAAGTTTCAAACTGTCTTAGACTTGTTGGTATATAGCATGTGCTAAATGGTTGCATTATTGATGACTGCATGACTTTGTCAAATAAGTAGGTCACATAATCCAGTCTCTTTACGACGAAATATAATTCCCTAGACTTTTTTTCTAAAAGTATTAATATAGTATACGTCTGATTTCGAGATCTCGTTCGATTAAAACGGCGGCGAGTTCATAATGTTGGAAAATAAACTCGAGAAAATGAAAAAACAGCAGACAAATAGCAAGCAATTGTAGCGAACTGACCGTCTTAAAAATTAGCAAAATGCTCGTTATTAGTCCCTAATACATTATTTGAAGATTCAGCATTGTATCTTGTATCGTTTTCAAGAGTACTGTAATTGTTTATAACATATTTGATATGCCTCCAACGTTCGCTTGACATTTGTCAGTGTCAAGTATAGTGCTATAAGGATCCAGTAAACCAAGAGGCGTCGTAGCGTAGTAGGAAGGATTGATGATTGCAGAACCGCAGGATGAAGGTTTGAATCTACGAAGCCCTTTTCCTCTCGTTTTTTTTTTTAAATTTGGAGAAATAAATGCTTTTTCACATTATGTGTACTTTTATTGCGATCAAGAGCATTTTGCCTAATTTTTAAGACGGTCAGTTCGCTACAATTGGTTGATATTTGTGTACTGTTTTTTCGTTTTCTCGAGTTTATTTTCCAACATTTTGAACTCGCAGTCGTTTTAATCGAACGAGATTTCGAAAACAGACGTATACTGTATTAATACTTTTAGAAAAAAGTCTAGGGAATTATTTTTCTTCGTAAAAAACTGGATTACGTGACCTACTGATTTGACAGTCATGCAGTTATCAATAATGTAGCCTTTTAGCACATGCTACTTACTAACTAGTCTAAGACAGTATGAAACAACAGTATTCAGTTTGCGTGCTAACTTTATCACCAGTTCAGCGCATTTCGGTATGGAGTATTCTTTTTTATAAACTGTAAGGCTCATCTGTGACCATGTAAAAATGTCAGCACTAAATATGTATACACAAGAGTATCAAGAAATCTTGAACAAAATTGTTTTCTTCGTAACAAAAGGTGATAGACACATCCGCTTTGTTATAAAATGTGTATAATAACGTATGTTTTTCGAATATCGTAGCGAATATGTTCAATTACCCACAAATACGAAATGTTTGAATTTGTTTAGAAGAAAATACGCAACCCTTCGTTTTTTGTATAAAAACAACAATTCTCTTACGGAATGGTTTGTGATTTATGTAGGCAAGGTAAACTCGTGTATTTTGCTATGCCCTTTGAACGAACCTGTATATAACTTAGTAAACTAGTAGTGATGGACGGAAGACAGGTGTTTTGGGATAAACAATTAGAAATTCTCAAACACTACTTGACCAATCGACTCAAATTTTGTTGAGGTTATTCAGAGGTCTGAAACCTACGGATCTGAAGAATTTCAAGTAGCTGCGTGAAATTATCGTCGCATTAGCAACAAGTGCCAAAATCTGCATTTTGCCTTTGTTTTTGGCCATAACTTTTTTACATTCGGATCTTTTTATGTGTGGTCTCAATTTGTAGGTCCTACCTAAAAATCTTATTTGAAGAGTTTTTTCGTTCCTGCCAACACTTTTCATTGAATCCCAAAAAACATGTTTTCTTATTCTTTGTTGTCGAATAAAAAGTTTTCTCACAAAAATTGGTGTTCCCATTTTATGCGTCCATGTTTTAAATACCCCCTTGAAGCCTTGAACAACTTGCATCAATAAAACCCGACTTTACAATTATTTTGGGGAAATTTGCTAATATGATTAGACGACTAATATCTCAGACGTGTTAATTATTAACCAAAAATAATGAAACATCTGAAATTTTGTTTGTGATAATATGCTCAAGTTTCCAATATATGGTCAGTGTAAGTACCTCTTGGAGCTACAGAGGATGCTCATAAAATTTAAGTGATCTAACTCACAGTTATAAGGTTACTGTTAAACATAGATGCTTATTCCATGAACAGCATAGGCTTTTTTTGACTAGATTGTATTGTTGTATTATGGCAGCATAAAGCAAAGGTAATCTCCATTTTGGAAACATAGCCATTTCAATAATATTTTGTAAGTTGAAATGAAATAGACTTTGAATAAAATTGATACGAGTAGGAACAACATTTTTTAATATGATATCATATACTAAGTGACATATAAATCCGAACACCCAGTTTAAATGGTTTTATTTTAATAAAATTTTGTATAAGTACTTAATGAAGCATAATAAGTAAATGATAAAAATTTCAAAATGATTGCACTGCTTTAAAGCCCTTTGACCTTTAATAATGTGTGGATGCACCCTGATGTGCTACGCATTCTCCAACGCGCCTAGGCATGCTTCTGATCAGGTGGTCAATGTCCTCCTGTGGTATCTCATTCCAGGCAACCACCAACTCCTCTCGAAGTGCTTCTAGAGTCTGAGGAGGACGTTGCAAATTGAGCAATCTCCTACCCATCATATCCCACACGTGCTCAATTGGGGATAAGTCGGGAGATCTTGGTGGCCATGGTAACAATGTGACATCATTATGTTGAAAGAAGTCTATTGTGACTCTTGCAACATGTGGTCGGGCATTATCTTGTTGGAAAGTTGGATCTGCCATGGTGTCAAGATAGGGTAAAAGATGGGGTTCTAGAACTTCGTGGATATAACGCTGCGCGTTCATGTTACCTCTGATGAAGATTAAAGGTGACCTGGAACCATAAGCTATAGCACCCCAAACCATAACTCCAACAGTGTGATGAACATGTCTTTCAACAAAAAACTGTGATTCCTCATTTCACGACGTCGCCTTCTAACCCTGGCACGACCATCGGGCATGCCTAAACAAAATCAAGACTCGTCACTAGAGACAATACTGTTCCATTCCTGATCCCAGAGTGACCGTTATCTGCACCACTCAAGGCGATTACGTCGGTGTTCTCGAGTTAAAGGGAGGACTCAGTGTGGCCGGTATGAAAACAAGCCAAAACCTCTCATTCGTCGGTAAACACTTCGCATGCCAATAGGTCTTCCGTATGCTAGTGGAGAAACGGTCCCTTAAGGCCAATAATCTTAGGCGGCGATCTTCACGGTCTGTTGTTCTACGGCGGCGTCCAGTGCCCCTTGCTCTTTGCGTACGGCCTTCTCGAAGTCATGCCTGACAACACCTAACCACAGTGTCTACACTTCTTTGCACTCTAACTGCAATTGCCCGAAAAGAAAGTCCAGCTTCCCGAAGACCCGCTATACGGCCCCTATCAAACTCACTAAGTTGACGAAATCGTACATGTCTCCGTACTCTAGGCATCGCAACCGATCGTAAAGGATGTCAAGAACCAAAATCCGTCAACGTTGATTCTTTACTGCGGCTGAAATATTCATTTTTAGAGCGTTAGTGAATTAAAAAAAAGCAGTATAAAAACCGGAATGTCCAACTGATAAGGCTGAAAAATTTTGCATGTATGTATGTTGAAAGTAGTTATTTAAACAAAATAGATGCTAACTTTGATCAACATTAACTAGCTGTTCTTTGATGAAAACGTAGAATCTGACAACAGTAGTATCGATGTTACTCTATTCATTACTTGAAAAATAATATTGCTTTTACAAGCAAAAGGAATGTTACGTAAAAAATAATATTACAAGGAAAAAGTTTGGAAAATTTTATTTGTTCCCAAACGCACCTCTTTATGTGGCCACTAAATCAGGGATTGGTTCCCAAGAACTTTGTGGATACGCATATGGAATAGACGACATTACTGTAGACATTCAAGCTGCGTGCCGAAGCTTACGGGTAATAAAACACTTTAGAGAGATGTCTCAAATAGACAACTATGTCATATAGCAGATCATATTTGGTCATGACACACTTATGTGGTTTGTGAAAAATAAGCATTTGCGCCATACTCGAAGCGTGGACACAAATCTGATACAATACGTAGATTAATGTGTCAGCAATTAAATTGCATTTTATTGAAAATAACAGTGTCTCACTGTTGCTGTTGAAAATCCTGATTTAAAAATCCTTCGATAATATAAACAACATTACAGAATGCTTATTCTAGCTAGCTATAATTCGATTTAGCATTTGTTTTACCGAATTTATAAAAAATAAATAGTAAAAAGCTTTGTGGATTAGAACCTGCGCCCTGCGGTTGTGTAACCCTTTATACTTTTCATTACACCACGACGTCTCTTGGTCTACTGGATCCACTGGATACCACTATACTTGACACTGCCAAATGTCAAGCGAACGTTGACGGCACATTAAATCTGTTATAAATAATTAGAATAATCTTGAAAAGTATACAAGATACAATGCTGAAACGTTAAATATTTTTATTTTATTTGCCTAATTTTTCAGACGGTCATTTCGCTACTGTTTTTTCGCTTTCGCGAGTTTATTTTCCAACACGTTGAACTTGCAATTGCTTTAATGGTAACAAACATACTACCATATTAAAGCTTAGAAAAAAAATGTCAAGTGAATTATAATTCTTTGAAAAGAAACTGGATTACCTGCTTAGACAAGGCCATGCAGCCATCGGTAAAATGTAGCCATGCTGCACATGCTACCTACTAACTAGGCTAAGACAGTTTGAAACAAAAGTGCGTGCTAACTTCATGAACAGTTCACTGAAATGTATGAAGAAATCTTGAAAAAAATTTTTTGTTTGCAACAAAGAGTGATACAGACATCTCCTTTGTTTTAAAATGAGTATAATAACTCACAAATACGATATGTTTGAATTTGTTTATTATATATATATATATATATATATAAATACCATTCATCTTTCGAAATCGTTAGTGATTCATATCGGCAAAGTTAACTTGTGTATTTTGCTATAAAATTTACTTTGAACGAACCTTGTATATTGCTCACTAAGCTAGTAATGATGGCCGAAAAACCACCTGTGGTGTTTTGGGATAAACAATTAGAAATTCTTAAAAACTACTTGACCAATCGACTGTAATTTTCTTGTGGTTATTTAGAAGTAAAGGGTGTTTTTTTAGAGGTATTGAACTTTAAACTGCAATAAAACAACGATGGATTATTCGATTGACATGATTTTTTTTAATTCGAAAGATAATCTTGTGGCATAATAATAATAATAATCATCCGGCTTTATTTATACAAAGTATAAAAAGGCGAAGTGTCGCTAAAAAGCGTTTTTCAACTTAACCCAACAAATATTTATGTAAATTTTCTAATCCCAATGAAAACAAAAAAGTTAAAAAAAACCTTTAACGAGTCCCTATTCATGGACATGGTCTACTTACTGGGCAATGAAGTCAGAGATAAAATGCTTCAATCTTTTTTTTTTAATTCTTTATAGAGTAGTGAGTGAACTCGGTAGGCAACGCATTGTATAGCTCCATTACATTTTAAATATGATTTCTGGCATATGACTTCCACGGCTGGCTCGGATGTAGTCCAATCTGGACGTCCAATTTTCGATGACTTTTTCCAACATTTGTGGCCGTATATCGGCAATAACATGTCGAATGTTGTCTTCCAAATGGTCAAGCGTCTGTGGCTTATCCGCATAGACCAATAACTTTACATAGTCCCAGAAAAAATAGTCTAGCGGTGTTGAATCACAAGATCTTAGAGGCCAATTCACAGTTCCAAAACGTGAAATTAGGCGGTCACCAAACGTGTCTTGCAATAAATCGATTGTAGCACGAGCTGTGTGACATGTTGCGCCGTCTTGTTGGAAACACAGCTCCTGGACATCATGATTGTTCTATTCAGGAATGAAAAAGTTAGTAATCATGGCTCCATACCGATCACCATTGACTGTAACGTTCCGCCATCATCGTTTTTGAAGAAGTACGGACCAATGCTTCCACCAGTCAATAAAGCGCACCAGTCAGTTTTTCTGGGTGTAACGGTGTTTCGACATAGACTTGAGGATTAGCTTCACTCCAAATGCGGCAGTTTTGTTGGTTGACGTAGCCATTCAACCAGAAGTGTGCCTCATCGCTAAACAAAATTCGCTTATGAAAATCGGGAACAACGGCAATCTCGTTTTGGGCTCATTCAACAAATCTACGCCTTGCTTGATGATCGTTTGGCTTCAATTCTCGCACGAGTTGGATTTTGTAAGCATGCAAACCAAGATCCTTCCGCAAAATCTTTCATAAAGTGGATGGTCACAGATCCAATTCCTGTGCTTGATGGCGGATGGACTCATTCGGGTCTTCCTCAATGCTACGCTCTACAGTAGCAATATCTTCTTCTGTACACACCGTACGGTGTCTCTGGGGATGCGGGTTATCAATTAGAGTAAACGTGGTGCAAAAACGTTGCATGGTTAATCGAATTAACTGCTCTGATGGACGATTTTTTCGACGATAAAATGGACGTGGTGCGCGATACGTATTCCGCACAGAACCATTATTTTCGAAATAAAACTGCACAATTTGCAAGCGTTGTTCAGGCGTGAGTCTATTCATGATGAATTGCCAAACCAAACTGAGAATAAATCACTTGACAGCTGTCAAATCGGTCATCATCTTCAAAAGTAATGCCAACTTAAAGTTCTATACCTCGAAAAAAAAACACCCTATATAAGGCCTACCGATTTGAGGAATTTCAAGTATCTGCACTGTCGTCGCATTACCAACAAGTGTCAAAACCTGCATTTTGGCTAGGTTTTAGGCCATAACTTTTTTGCTATTAATTGGATCTTCTTATGTGTGGTCCCATTTCGTAGGCCTTATAAAATACCTAAATATCTTACCTGAAGAGTTTTTTCGTTCCTGTCAATACTTTTGATTGAATCCTAAAAACTCGTTTTCTTGTTCTTTCTTGTTGAATAAAAGGCTGCTAACAAAAACGGGTGTACCCATCTTACGCGTCCATGTTTTAAATACTTCCTTGAACAACTTACATTAATAAAAACAATTTTTATAATTATTTTGCAAATCAGGGGAATTTTCGTCTAATATGATTAGACTACTGAAGGAGCCTTCAAGGAGACCCTCACCATTTCTGAATATGGTTTTAAATTATCGGGTTTGAATCTGAATAATGATGATCAATTTTATTATAGGATTGTGATGCCTATGATGCAGTCGTATATCAAAGCTGGAGAGTTCACAGTGAAGGGAAAATTGAAATCTGCCTTGATAGACAATGCCATCTATTATGGATCTTACTTACTTATCTGTGGAGTGCTACTGATCTATTTGGCATTAAAACCTGGCGTCGATCTTGATTGGTAATTATTTTTGTCAATTACATAGGTATACCCTTGATCAAATTTCTTTCACCCTTTGCAATCTGCTCGACTTCTGGGATGAGCACTAATCCTTAGCCAATTTAATTGCCTCATGATGGTATTCAGAAGTTATCACAATAATTACAGGTTGTCTATGATTTAGCCAACAAAATAGCTCAGTTGGTGGGAACGGCAGTTATAGACCCACGCACCTTATGGAAACGTTCAACTTGCAAAGTTCGCTTTTCTGGATTCCATCAAACATGGTAAACATTGAACTGACAATGCCGTTATAATTCATATTTTCATATAATATAATAAGAACCTTCATTGTTGCTATACTGGGTGTCCCAATATTACGTGGGCATAGAAGTGCCACATATTTTTAGACTCAAAATCAGTCAATTTGACATGATTTACTTCTATCCAAAAGTGTTTCGTTTGTTCGTTAAAGGGCGTCAGTTTTCTTTTTAAATCACGTTTTTTCAGATATTTTTGGAACCGATAGTCCGATTTGAATAAAATTTGAAACATGTATTTTGCTAGATGTCCTAATATTTGACCTGAAAGGGTTCAAGATTGTTGAAAACTACCCACACCCCTACATAAATAATAGCAGATTTTTTTCGCAACTCTCCCAAAGACTCTGATTGAATCTTCGACTACAGATGCTGCATGCGCATGGTTATGGATCTGATACGCGAGAAATAGTACTTTGACATCAAAAGGGAGCCACGTTGTTTGTCTGTTGAAGAAATAATATTACACAACAGTGTGCCCTTGAGATGGGGAAGTAAAATCGTCAATAGTAAAATCGTGCGCCTGAATATCCTAAAATCTAAATATATACTTTTGAAAATCTTTCAACTGGACCTACTGTGAAACGCAAGTGTTAAATATCCACTTGAGGGTTACTGAAGTGTTATTGTTCATTTACAGTTCAAGAGCCGTCTATTTGTCATTTTAATAGTTTTTAATATTGTAAACATACATATAATATCCCGTTGGTATTGTACTACATTTTTTTTTTGACGTTGCTTATGTTTTTTCTTTAAAATTTTGCTGGCAATAAAGAATATTATTATTATTATTATTATTAAATGCTGAAAGAATAATTGATGAATATTTGCAGGTCAAAGCTGAAAGCAATAGCAGCATCTGCTAGCAACACGTGGGGTCTTTTCCTGCTTGTTCTACTCCTTGGACATGCATTGGTTGAAGTGCCTAGAAGGTTATGGAACAAATCAAATCACAGCTATACTCTTACTCAGTATTATTTCAAAGCAGCAAAGTTGAGTTCTGATAAGTGTGAAGCTGAGGAAACAGTTGATGATGTGTTAGAGGTAATCATTTTTTTACTTTACATAGACGCCAGCGTGAAAATTTGGTTAAAATTATTCCCAAAGGCCCAGTTAGTTGCCTTTCAACTTTGGTACTTATAACTCAGAATTTAACTGTTTGTTGTCCATAAATTAGTTTTTCAAATTCTGGTTAACCAACCCGCAACTTTTGATCTGCCAACGCTGCTTCTCCATCTCAACTAGAGTTCATTACCACAACTGTTGACAGCAATGGAATGCGCGGAATATTGCGGGCTTCTTTTCATTAAAAAGTAGACTTTAACTCAACATTTTGCAACACTTGTCATCATTAAACAGAAATAACTAGAGCAGCATGATTAATATAAGAAAAAATGGATTAATTTGTCAGAACGTTAATGCAGCCCTCAGCTAGCCCATGTTCGGGGTACCCAGGACTCACCAAGGGGAGGTTTGTTTGTTTGTTGAAGATTTATTTAGCATTAATGCTACAAAGTCAATTTTGAATGATTATTCGCTTACACATTTTTCTTCAATCCATTTTCTGTAGTTTTACATTCCTGTCTATGAAAATTACATCACTATGCATTTCGAGTATTGAGTAAAGTGATTTTTTAATTTCACCTTGAGCATTTTTAAATTCTAACACTGTTTAATATCAGTATTCAATTTATTAAATACGGATTTGCTAGTTATTCTACTATTACAATTTTGCAAATCATAATCTATACTTCCTCTAGTTTCGTAGTTATGATAATGGCTATTTAATTTTGTGAAAGTTTCTAAATGTGGTGGTAATAAATGATTTTTTTAGTTTGAATATGGAAATGAGAACTAAATAAAATATGACATTTTTCGCATTCAACCACTGTAGTTCTTCTCACATAGACTTAATCCTAGCATATTTGTTTTTATTTAAAATGATTCTCATAGCTTTATTTTGTAGAATTTGTGGCTGCATATCGAGTCCGGTCCCTCCCTCCACCCGTAGTTTAGTTTTAAGAAAACGAAAAATAAATATGATTAATTTCTAAAACTTACAAATACAAACCATAAAAAAAGTTCTGAAACTGAAAGACGCACAAAAATTAAAGGATAAATTCTGATTATTCAAAGATTAAAAGAAAATATAAAACAACTATGAATAATATATAACGTAAATAGATGCAAAAATAAATTAATAAATAAATATTCAATTGAACAAATGGTAGTCAGTTGTGCTACGGTTTTATGACAACATCATTTGAGCAGGAACTGTAACTGCCAGTGCTGTCGCTATCATTGTCATCATTTAAGGTAATTATCACTGGTTCGATTATACGCTCTATGGAATGGTTCTACTGCCAGAACTTTTCCTCTTATTTGACTACATGCTTTATGCAATTCTGCCACGTGTCACCAGTTACACCTTCATGACCCCTTTCCAAAAGAATATGAACATCCGCCATCTTAAAGGTAGTATTCTTATGCGCTACCTCGTTTTTTATTTGAGCCCATATAAACTCGATTGGGTTGAACTCGCAGTGGTACGGAAGTAATCTTAAAACCATAAATCCTTTTTCCTTTGATATTCCATCTACCACTAATTTCGTGTACCTACCCTTGTACTGCCGAACGATTTGCATTAACTCTGCTTTGAGCATCGATAGGTCGCATTTGTATATTTTTTGATAGTACCCAATTATAAATTTCTGTCTCCATTTTAAAGTGGGAAGATTTTCTTCACGTCGACTGTGATATGAAGCATTATCTAGGACATAAATCCTTTTTCCTTTGATATTCCATCTACCACTAATTTCGTGTACCTACCCTTGTACTGCCGAACGATTTGCATTAACTCTGCTTTGAGCATCGATAGGTCGCATTTGTATATTTTTTGATAGTACCCAATTATAAATTTCTGTCTCCATTTTAAAGTGGGAAGATTTTCTTCACGTCGACTGTGATATGAAGCATTATCTAGGACAATCACAGAATCGGGTTCTAATTTTGGTAACATCGTTTTGAACCATAACTTGTGCGCTGATATCTTCTTGATAATCTCGTTCTTCGTGATTGGAAGACGCTCAATCTTCCATAGACAAAGCCGGAATCGCTACCAATATGAGTAATAATTAAACGAGGATCCTTACCTGTAGGGCGTTGAAAACCTGTACTTAATCCGTCACGATACGCTTGTCTACGAGGTGTGATGTTTAGATCTTGCGTATTTAACAGTTTACGTCCCTGTTTTTGCTTTTTTGCTACGAACACACATTACGTTTTTTCCCTTATATGTAATTCTGAAAATGGTAGATACTGGTACCTTTGTCATATCGCTGTAAAGTTGAACGATATCTCTTACTGGTTGTTCTGAAAATCGAGTTGAGAGTGTGTCATAAACATCTTTCCGTTATTATGCCGTTTATGGCGTAGACTATCCATTGCATGGTGATCCATCATTCGTAATCCGTAAATTTTCATCAGTTCCCAACTCACCTCCTTTCCGTTATCCGCGCAGCAGCTGACAAGAAAATGAGTAAAAAACGGTGTACATGTACTTTCTTTGTACGTCGGTAAAATGTGTGTCGCTGTACAATCTGTGTGTCTGACGTTCGATGTTTGTGCCATCCGAGACAACTCATGTCACTGTCAAACAAAAGAGGTTAGGCATTGCGTTTTAACTACAACTTTGTAATTAACCGGTAGATATGGTCTTCTGGTTGAATTTAACTACCATTGAAAAACGCGTTTTGAGAGTTAATTTCTGATTAGGAGTAAAATCATAATTAACCTGCAATTGAAAGACCGGCACGGGTATTATACGAGGGGGCACCAAAAAAACCGGAATTATTTTTTAAAACCTATTTATTTTCAACGTTTCCATAAAAAACTTATCTCCTTCAAAATACTGTCCACTACAACTAATACACTTGTTCCACCGGTGCTTCCACTGCTCGAAACAGTTTTTGAAATCTTCCTTAGAAATGTCCGACAGCACCTCCCTCGTTTTTTTCTGACCTTTTCAATGTCGTCAAAGCGGCGTCCTTTCATGCCCCTTTTCATTTGTGGAAATAAGAAAAAGTCGCGCGGAGCCAGGTTAGGCGAATAAGGTGCGTGAGGCAGCGGAACCATGCCATTTTTAGCCAGAAACTGTTTAACAGAAATGGCTGTGTGCACAGGGCATTATAGTGGTGGAAGAACCAGTCTCCTGACTGCCACAAATCAGATCTTTTTTGCCGAACACTGTTTCGCAACCGTCTTAAAATCTCCAAATAGCACAAGGTCTCGAATTTTTTCAACATTTTCGTCGATTCGGGTAGTTGACGGACGTCCAGAGCGAGGTTTGTCATCAATTGACATGTCGCCATTTTTAAATCGAGCAAACCACTCGTACATTTGAGTTTTTCGCATAGCATCGTCTATGTAAGCTATTTTCAACATTAAAAGAGTTTCAGCAGCATTTTTACCAATCAGAAAGCAAAATTTCACAGCTATACGTTGCTCACTGAAGCTTGCTATCGTAAAAAAACGAAACGAGCACGAAACAGCTCTAGCAAAAATAATGACTACAGAGGAACGAAACAAGCCAGATCGACATCTCAGGTGGCACTGAACTGGGAATGAGTTGCGCTGTACGCCTCTGGGGGCAGAAATTTGTACTACACAAGCTCCGCATACTGTAATGCTATTCCGGTTATTTTTGGATACCTCCTCGTATATCTTGAAAAGTTCATTTCGTCGCCGCACGACTATTGCAAAAAACGTAAAAAATCGACGAAAGGTCATCTCACAGACTAGGTAGTTTTTAGTGTGCAAATAGTTACATACAGCTACAAAACGAGTTCACAAGTGTACAACAGCTTGTGCTGAGTTAACATCTTGTAGAAAAACCTACGAAATGTCAAAAAACCGACGAAATGCTACTTTTTAGATACGTAATACCCGTGCCGACCAAAGTGTCACCAAATTTTATACAGGGTGTTATCAAAGTTGGTACTGTCATTTACATAGAAAATTGTTGTAAACATAAGCAAATCTTTGTAGTAACACATTTTCCACGTCTTCCAATATCTGAGACATTAAGCACTGTTCTTACCAAAAGCAAGCCGATGGCAACTACACTTCAACTCGATTTCGATTTGAATTGCGTTGTTTTTGGATTCCCACCGAAAGTAACTGACAGTTTGTTAGGTTGTGAATAAAGTCTGACAGTACTAATCAATAAGAAGGTATAACATAAAAAAACTATTTTGGTTCTTAAGAAAGTCGCGCACATTTCGTGAATAAAATCTGTCCAAATCAACCAATGAATATACAAAAAATTGGGTAACTTTTAGACATATTTTGTTTACTATAGTTTTCGAGTCTAATGTCTACAAATTCGGGTACTTAAGACAAATAATAATCTAATGAATATATTTTTCCAAACAGGGCCAGTCACTTTTATGAGTAGATTTTGAGATGTTTCTATTTTTCTGAAATTGACTGCCAGGATAGGACTGACAAAATATGCAGTTTCATAAAAATATGGAATTTATTAGAACTTTGAACAAATACCTTCGAATCCAGTAACTGCACGTCTTATAGTTATAGTAACTATTAACAATAGGTAAATAGGGAATATCTGGTCACAAATGGAATAGTATTCAAAAACTTTTCACAAAGATCTTTCATGCCATCCAGCAAATATATTATATACTTGCTGCATGGTATTATATATTATAAGACACTCATTCTTTCTTTCCAGCTGCTTGACGACTGTTAGCATCGTCTTATCAAAATTGCCAAAACCAAAGATTGCACTTTGATTATTTTTTCTTTTGCAAGCTTATGTCCAGTCTTTTAGTAAGTCTCTGCTCTGTTTTGTATTCATCACAGTTTGTATTTGTCTATTACATTTCAAGATATAGTTTGTTTGACCTGGTTCTTTTTTCTTAATGACCTTTTGTTTTAGTGTAGTAGTAAAAATGGTGGTGAGGTCACTAGGTCACCTTTCACCCTTTTTGCCAACCCCGTAGTACCAACACTGTACTACTCCACCAGCGGAATACTAATTACTGAATAAACCAGCAACAGCGATGCAATGTACCTTTGTTGATCTTGCACCGATCTGGTGATTTTTCTTTTAGTTTCTTCTAATTGAATTTTAATAACTCGCCTTCTTGACTAATTCCTTCTTTTTAGTTATAACGTCACTCACTCAATTTTGTTTGTTTTTTTTTTGGCGAGTTTTCAGTAGATTTTATAATTCTCTTTAACTGATTTTTAACCCGTCCATATTTTTGGGGATGAGCATTTAGTTCAGTTCAGAGTTTTTTTAATTGCTTACTTCTGGACTTCCTGTGTTTTTCGCTACTCTTTTCTGCTTCTTTTATTCTTTGGTCTGCGCTAAAAATAGGTTTATTTTCTTCAAGAACTTGTTGTATTTCGTTCTCAGTCTTAAGAGTATTCTGATGTATAAAATTAAGAGTTTGTTTGAACAGTAGCTTTTTTGTCTGTATCTTGATCTTTTCCATTTTTTCTAGTTGCCCGTTGCTCCGAAGGTTTTCTTTACCCTTTCTTTTTTTAAGTATTGTAACCTTTGTTTTTCTTTGTATTTAGCTTATTTAATGCAGTCGCTTTCAATTCTTTTCTTCTTTAATATATATTCTTTACACAAATTCATTTTTTTCATTAGGTTTAAACTGTAATAAGTAAAAGGAATACTTACACACAGTTGCAGTTAAGATAAAAGCGATCTAAACAAAAAAAGAATCAGTACTGTGGAAGCCCGTCAGTCCAATAAAACTGAAGTTTGTAAAGAAACGTGCCCTCACCACAATACTGATATTTTGACTGGATCGGCACGTGTACTTACAGTAAGCACGACTCCAGCTCTGGCTTAGTATGGGCAGCTGTTAAATGGCACGGTCTCTTCACTACCGGCGTTAAAATTTAACAGAGATACAATCTCGAGTCGGTGATATTAGGCGAGAATTTTATATTTAAACAAACAACACACAACGGACTGATGAATGGAACTACACAAAAAATTGCTTAATTTTTTATAACTAACTGTGGGAATATTATATTATGAAAGTTATACTATACATTATTAAGTACATCACAGATTGTAGTGAAATAGCAAGTTTTCTTAAATGAATGGTAATGTTCAATACACGGCCACTTGATTGTACGTTTTTGGGAGTGTGACATGCCAAAGGACTGAAGTTTTGACGATTTTTTGTGGTTTTTCAAAAACTTGTATTCAAAATAAATCGCTGCAATTGGGCAACCGAATAAAAGACTTTTAGTTCTTCTAAAATAAAATTAAATATAAACAAAATTTAATAAAACTTCATATCTATTGATTGATGACATTGAGTTACCCATTTTTTGTATAATCACCCATGTATCTAATATTACTTATCTGCCAAGAAACTCAAAATACATATAATTATACATGATGTCCTGAAAGTTGGACTTTCCTTTTCACAAACAACTATGGCCGAAATAACAAAGCTAAAGTCTGGTCTAACAGTAGCGATAAAGAAAAAAAAATTAAAAAGGTGATTGGTAAATAAATGTTTTGTTGCCTCGATTGAGTACTAACGTACGTCGTACATTCGCACTTTTAATCCGACTGTATTCAAAAGGTTTTCTTTCATATTGTATTCTTTTCATATACACTTCTAAAGGACAGAAAACTGTACCTATTTGAAATCAGTATGATAGAGGGTCTTTGTAGTCACAAATACTGCATAGGTAAATATTGACGTTAACCTTATATATTTATTTCTTGTATGATACATTTCAAATAAGGTTAACGTTGCTCTAATTTAATTCAACATAATGTAAAAGATGTTTTTTAGTTTATTCTTTATGTCTCTACTAGTCTCTTCAAGCTGTCATGGTGGCTATAAAACCTGAACATCCTCTGTACATGAGCCTAGAAACGATTCTACAAAAAGTACCTGCAGAATTGAGAGATAGAATAAATCGTAGGCAGTTGCCTGATGATACACCTACTGATGCTCCATCAGAAAAGGCTCTCATCAGACTTCATAAACAGGTAAGTCCATAAAACTAAACTAACTCTCATATACTGAGAAATCCATTTATCACCCACGTCGTAATGTGTGGGAGAGAGAAGCGTGCTATACGAATGTTTGAGATAAAAGCACCACGTTGCCTAGCAACCCGAGTGACGAGGCCACATACGCAGCTGCGGCTTGCTGCGCACTTTTTCTAACATACGTATTGCACGCTTCTCGCGCTTCTCTCTCGTACTCATTACCTCATCAGTGATATTTGGATTTCTCTGTAGATCCTTCATATGTCTACTACTACTACTTTCGGAAAAAACAATGGCGTACCATTTTTATGAAAAATCTTTAGTATATCCCGTACGGACGTCACTGGTAGAAACATTAAAAAATATTCTACATCAAAAATTCAAATTTCATGAGAATATCTAGAACAGTAGTAAAGTTATGATAAAACGAATTTTTTCTTAAAACACTAACACCCCGTAGCTCAAAATTATAAATTATATTATAAACTTTTCTTCCTAAAATGAGCTAAGGAAACATTTCTTGTATTTTTGGTCATCAATTAAAATGCACCCTGTAGATTAAGGATAAGAAGGGACCAAGTACGGATCCTTGTGTAATACCAGAAGCAACATCAGCCAGCAAAAACTCCCTGGCTTGTTTTTACTCGTTGCTTGATATTGTCTAAATAATATTTCAAAAAACAAAGAGTAAAATCAGAAAGTCGGTAGTACTTTAATTTCGATAGTTTATACCAGTATTTTAAAACATTTTTTATGTTAGTAACAGTTTCAATCACTTCATCCTGTTGATAAGGGAGAGCTCTTCTACTGACCTCACAGATGAACCTTATTCTTACTCTAGCATTTTGGAGAAATTGTAACTTCCTTACTGAAATCTGGTCCAACCATATGTTTCTCCATAATATGGCTTAAGCGTGATGCTGACGGACTGGACAGACAATCACATATATAATGGATACTCTTGCTGAAATTGTTTATTTCTATCGAAAGTGTGCATAATCAAGAAATAATAATGTTTACAAATAATACGTTTTCCTAACTTAATAATAGCATCAGATTACTAACAATCACTTAGAGTTTGGCAACACTGTTCAATTCAATAAATCATTTATCACTTTCTTCATTCATCATTTTATCCAAAAAAAATTTCAGACAATAAAGTCTTTACAAGTACTTCAGAGAACAGAAACCCAATGGAATATAATGGTAGAAAAAGTATTCGAATTAGAGGATACCCTCAAGAACCAAATTTCCAGAGACAGAAGGTTCAAAAGGACATTCCAAAAAGAACACAGCTGGTTCAGGAGATATATTTGGACTTCTACCATAGGTACAAATATTTATGTATCAAATATAATAATTGCAGATATAATTCATGGTTACACAATTTTTTGAGATTATCATAGCCAACGTATGATACGCGGTCAAACAATTATAGACAAATTGGCGGAATAATGGATGATTCTCATAAAATCTGAGGATCTCTTGACCTTCGGACACTCTTTTAGTTAGTTCTCATCAGACCAATGGGAAATAGGGTTATCAGCTTCCTTTTGTCCGCTTTCTCTGATAACTTCACATCACTTCAGAGACCTGGGACGTGATTCTAAATGAGTTTCGATAGTTGAAATTGAATTCGGTGGCGCCTTGTGACTATACACTTCATTAGCTATTATAATTTTAACACTGCCATCATAATTTGACTATAGGATATCAATATTGTCAGATCTCAAAGTTATCATAGCAAATCAAGTATATCGTCACAAGGTGCCATCGAACTAAATCTCAACGGTCGAAACTCCTTTAGAATCAGGCCCCTGGTAATAACTTAATTTCCACCATTGAAATTAATTTCGATGGCGCTTTATCATTATACATTCTATACTATTTTTATTTTGCCACTGCCATAGTAATGAGAATATATAAAATTGCTAGAGTCAAGTGTCAAAATTATCATAGCGAATCATATATGTGACGGAAAGGCGATATCGAAATTAATTTCAAAGACCGAAATTTAGTTAGAATCAGGCTCCAGGTCGCTTCACATATGGATGCGTAGAATTTGTCAATGTGAGGTGAGATTCTTTACTTCCCCTTCGCCGGTGGGTCACATACATTTCGGTACGTGCTCTCAGAGATTTTAAGATCACTTGATTAGACGGTTAACTGAGATTAATTATTGCTTAAGTTTGTATATTTTTGCCAAACATTGGAGGCTCTATGAGACCAAATTCAGATGGCCTGGGATACAATACATCAAGAAGACTCCCTGACTTTGTCTGGTATCTGGGCAACCAGACCTGACAGAGCTACTGACCTACGATACTTTAACAAAGAGCGAAGCTCCCACGGAACGCTCTGACGGACAATGACGAATAGAATCAAGAAGACATCAATTAGCTAATCCAATCAACGCCTCGACGACTTAACGAATATGTAGCGTATAGAGGAGCTTCAACACATTATTAAAATTAAGGTGGGATATCTCAGCTATTTTGCAGAATTTCGAGTTAAAATTTTAATCACTTTCTATTTATCGGTAGACTTAAAACTTGTAAAAGTAGGCTCAAAATTACAGCACTCCTAGTCGGTGTTGCATTTTCTGTCATTTAGTATATTTGAACCTATAGTAATCAAAAGTGTGCATAGGATAAGGAAATCTGACGTTTTCTGCTGTACAAGCTAGGAGCTAGGTGTGATTTTGATCCTGAAACAAACTCAAATTTTGCTGATTTCGAGTGGAATCAATTGCTGTCGGTGTTGCTAATTGGAGAAGCTAAATTTAGTGAACCGGGAGAGGCGGTTGGAGGAGACGCTGCAAGAACTATTCGAGTTTTTGGATGCAGGCCTTTTTGACAGACATTTGTCAGATTTAGTAGGTCAATTCTTTTCCAGAAGGTAGAATAGATACGGAGACACCAAATGATGAGGAAGATAGTGATAAAGTAGAAACTGAGAAAATATTGGATGAGAAAGGTTTTTGTTTAAAAGACTATACAATATCAATTCAAGAAAAATTGGTCAAGGAATTATATGAAAAGATTGAATCATTACAAAGGCAAAGTGAAGATAGAACGAAAACGACAAAGCCATATAAATCTTATGCAGATATGGCCAAAAACGCAGGACAGCAACATTCAGTTGTTAACTTAATACCACAAATACAAGCGGGTGTTCTAATCCAGTCCTATCTTTTAGTGATGTTGTGAAAAATATTGATCCAAGTGAAGAACAAACAATGGCATTTAATGAATCCAATAATATTAACAATGTGGTTATTTCTCTTCCTGAACCACAAAATACAATTGTTATAAAAAGAGTTACTGGAAATCAAAATTGCCGTCAAACAAAGAAAGTATTGAGCAAATATATTAATCCCGCCAAAATGAATGTTTCTATAACAAAAATTACCGATTTGAAAGATTAAGCTGTGAAAATTGTATGTAAGAATAATGAAGATATGTCTAAATTAGAAATAGAATTGGAAAAAACATTGGACAAAATTATAAAGTTAACGTGGATCGAAAGAAATTACCTATGATTAAAGTCCTCGGTTTTAGTGAAGAAATGGGTAAAGAAGAACTGATTAAGGACATAAAAGAAAGAAACAGAGTTATTAGATCTAATTCAATAATGAGTGGTGATGATTAAAAAAATGAAACAACGATATCAGGCTATCTTGGAACTAGATGAGACAACATTTATGGTTTGTTCGTACAGTAGTCGGTGAGTGTCAAAATCAGTCAGAGAGATGTTACCTGTTCGTACAGTTTCTGTTTGCCGACAGCTGATCCACTGTTCCTACAGAACCTTCTGACAGATCAGAGGACACCAGTCAAGCAGTGCCAGTGACAGGTACCAGAGTGTGTCGGAACTATCTTAAGGACTAAGATTGCTTCTCAAAAGGAATTTAATGATCGATTACTCTTCTCTAATGGACGGTCTGGGGACACCGACGGGCCGTTGGCGATCTAGCTACGCCAACGAGCCTCCTACATCCAGAACTGGCGGTTGTCGAGATCGTGTAACAGTCTATATGAGGAGCTTTTCCCAGTTCTACTAACTTTAGGCAGTTCAAAAATAGGAATAACAAAGTTTCTTTAAGCTCCTCAAAGCAGCCGCGGTATCCTGGCAGGTAGGCTTCAAGTGCGCGGCTGCTTCGGTGTAAAAAAATTGAGCGATATATCAAGAAGATGAAGACCTTGAATATCTACTGGAGGAGAGAATGAAACTCAAAAAAACTGAAATTTGTGGACAACACAGAGCCACAATTCTACAGAAACAAGTTTTTGTGACGTTTTTGGGTGAGCAAGTGGCAGAAGAAATTTAAATGAAATTCCATTTTAAATATCAGGCAGCGCCAAAGTGCTTTGTGCTCAATATTTGTTTATTGACCCGGTAGTGGCAAAATGAAGATTATGAATACAGTATGAAAAATCCGAAAAATAGAGGATACAACTTTCAAGAAGCATAATTAATTATTATATATTATTAATCTTATGAAATATTTTGCAACAATTGCAAAATGCATAATTACGCGATATAAGTCTTACGTCTATGCATTTTCGTAGTCTCAGTTTTTTTTGTCCATGTTGGGAACTCTGTGAAATTTATAGATATGTAAGCAGATCTTGATACTTGTATTCATGCTCCTCATCAGTTTTAGATTTTTAATGTATAATACCCTTTGTTATTCAAAGACATTATTAAATCCTTCAGTATACTAAGTGACATATAAATCCGAACACCCAGTATAAATGGTTTTATTTTAATAAAAGTTGGTGAATGTATTTATCTTACTATAAATAACAAGTGAAAAAATTGTCAGCCTTATCAGCTGGACATTCCGGTTTTTATACTGTTTTTTTTTAATTCACTAACGTTCTAAAAATGAATATTTCAGCCGCAGTAAAGAATCAACGTTGGCGGATTTTGGTTCTTGACATCCTTTACGATCGGTTACGATGCCTAGAGTACGGAGACCTGTACGATTTCGTCAACTTAGTGAGTTTGATAGGGCCGTATAGTGGGACTTCGGGAAGCTGGACTTTCTTTTCGGGCAATTGCAGTTAGAGTGCAAAGAAGTGTAGACACTGTGGTTAGGTGTTGTCAGGCATGGCTTCGAGAAGGCCGTACGCAAAGAGCAAGGGGCACTGGACGCCGCCGTAGAACAACAGACCGTGAAGATCGCCGCCTACGATTATTGGCCTTAAGGGACCGTTTCTCCACTACCAGGTCCATTGCAAATGAATGGTTTGCAGAACACGGAAGACCTATTGGCATGCGAAGTGTTTACCGACGAATGAGAAGTTTTGGCTTGTTTTCATACCGGCCACACTGGGTCCTCCCTTTAACTCGAGAACACCGACGTAATCGCCTTGAGTGGTGCAGACAACGGTCACTCTGGGATCAGGAATGGAACAGCATTGTCTTTAGTGACGAGTCTCGATTTTGTTTAGGCATGCACGATGGTCGTGCCAGAGTTAGAAGGCGACGTCGTGAAATGAGGAATCACAGTTTTTTGTTGAAAGACATGTTCATCACACTGTTGGAGTTATGGTTTGGGGTGCTATAGCTTATGGTTCCAGGTCACCTTTAATCTTCATCAGAGGTAACATGAACGCGCAGCGTTATATCCACGAAGTTCTAGAACCCCATCTTTTACCCTATCTTGACACCATGGCAGATCCAACTTTCCAACAAGATAATGCCCGACCACATGTTGCAAGAGTCACAATAGACTTCTTTCAACATAATGATGTCACATTGTTACCATGGCCACCAAGATCTCCCGACTTATCCCCAATTGAGCACGTGTGGGATATGATGGGTAGGAGATTGCTCAATTTGCAACGTCCTCCTCAGACTCTAGAAGCACTTCGAGAGGAGTTGGTGGTTGCCTGGAATGAGATACCACAGGAGGACATTGACCACCTGATCAGAAGCATGCCTAGGCGCGTTGGAGAATGCGTAGCACATCAGGGTGCATCCACACATTATTAAAGGTCAAAGGGCTTTAAAGCAGTGCAATCATTTTGAAATTTTTATCATTTACTTATTATGCTTCATTAAGTACTTATACAAAATTTTATTAAAATAAAACCATTTAAACTGGGTGTTCGGATTTATATGTCACTTAGTATACTAGAAGGATTTAATAATATCTTTGAATAACAAAGGGTATTATACATTAAAAAGCTAAAACTGATGAGCATAAATACAAGTATAATTAGTATATTTTTACTTCTTTCCTCTAGTGAGAGTCTGCATATATAGTGTGTTTCAAATTCGGCACTCACTATTGGGATCTTGGAAACTGTAATGGATGCGAAGTCACCTAAATGAGGTACTAAACAAAATGACACTTAGAAAGTTTCGAAATTCAAAGTACTTCCGGAGAGTGACGGAAAAACTGAATTTTCCCAAAATCGTTTTGATTTTTTCCTGACTTTATTTATATTGGGATTTTAAAATAAATTGCACATTAACATTGACACGTTTTCTCCTGTACAACAAGGTATAATCAGAATTTCTATATGACGGTTCGTCTCTTGTGGACCAGCATTAGCTTTATTAATTTTTAAGGACGCTATATTGCATTTTTGCACAGATGAATAGAGTTTTTAATTTTGAGCCAAAAAATGCATCATACGTCGAACAGAATTTCTTAGGTAGGCCTTGAAATTATCAGATATTTGTTTCGCTCACCAGATTTATCCCAAAATCGCTTTATTCGTTTCCTGACTTCATTTGAGATGGGAGTTTGAAATGAATTGCATATTGTCATTGTTACTTATTCTCGTCTACAAGTTGGCGTAGTCATTTTACAATTTGACATTTCTTCTTTCGACTTCCATCATCAACTTCGTTTTTTCATACGGACGCTATATTGGAATTTTGTACATTTAAATGGACTTTTCAGCCCTAAATTCAGTGATGTATTTCGTTTGTTGACCATAAATTTATTGATGGATGAAAATTATAAGGAAATAAAAAGATATGGTGAAACCTGAATACGAAATGAAAAAAAAAGTGACTGCGTATCCCTTAAAGATTCCGAGATCCCAATAGAGAGGGTCAAATTTGAAATACCCTGTATAGGGAAAATATTATTTTCACCCCAGCAGAAACAGTCGGCCACCAGCTCTCCGTGGGCACCCTTGAAAAAAGCTGTATCACAAAATCTCCAGAATTCGATATTTTGTTGTTTTTCATCAGCTTTGGGTTGCACTTACATAACGAGAATATGAAAATACTGCTTGTGTATACACTTCGAGGCTGGGCGACAACGGAATAGGGGGTTTTATTAAAAGTCATTCACAATACTTTGTACATTTCTCATGCATAATCGCTGCAGACGTTTATTCAAAATTCTTACTATTTACTCCTTGAACTTGTCATTCGATGTGTGGAATCATATTTCTTCGAATTTTGTTTATACCTTTTAAATGAGAATTGAATGGGAGTTACTGAGTAAATCTTCTTGACATTTTTGGGTGCTGTTGTTTTTTTTAGAAAGTCTCCCATGTTTTCCTTTCTAGCGGAAAATTCGGGCACATTCGGGCAGTTGAATGATAAATCCTAGATCATTCTGGTTTACAGCAAATGAACATACCCCAACTTTTCCAAAATTGTCTACTTCATTCTGAAAAATTTTACATTTGAATAATTATTTCACTTGATTTCGAACTCTGACAAATTACTGACAAATTATTTGCTGACTGTACGAACAGCGGATTAGTTGTCGGTAATCGGTCTTAGCTCCCTCAGCCAACTCGTAACGTTCTCATGTACGCAATCTATACAGTCAGCGACGGTCAGTGACAGCTGAGTTAACTAGGTCATGACTGGTCGCCAACTATCAGTTTGCTGATTGTCAGCAAACAGTCTGTACGAACAAACCATTAGTAAAGTTATGAAAGAAGGTATACTTTTTATATCTATGGATGTATGTACAATTTTTGTACATTATAACCTTCTAAGATGTTTCAATTGTGCTGGTTTCCACCATACTGCAAAGAATTGCTCCAAGAATGGTATTTGTTTGACATGTGGTGGAAGTGGACATCAACCACAGAACTGTGAAATACCAGAAAATGAAAGAACTTGTCCAAATTATAAAGAATCTAATTCAAAATATTAAACAAATTTCGCCACCCTTTAATAAAATTTGCAGCATAATCCACATGAAACATAAAAAACACAAGCCAAAGCATATAACAGTGATAAACCATAGCCATTACAGATAAAAGACTATGCAAACTATATTTACCATATAAATATTCAAGGATTTCTATCTAAAAAAAGATGTGTTTTACATTACTTGATGTCAATGAAGCCGGTGATGCTCTGTTTAACTGAAACACATCTCACAGAAGATATTGACGATGAAGAAATTGGTTTTGACGGCTATCAAATTGTAAGAGGAAACACAATTTCCAGACACACTGGTGGTATATTATTATATATTTTATGTGAAATAGAGAGAGAAATAGAATGGTGGTACATATATCAATGTTGAATTGAATCTTATGCACAATTATAATTTACACATTTACTACAGATCTCCAACTGGAAATATAAACAGATTAATACATTTTTTCGAAAATATCTGTGAAAAATATTTTTATCGAATCTGCATCACGGTACATTTGGGTGATTTTAATATAAATTTTGATAATCAAGACTTCTAAGCAAAGAAATTTAAACAGGTACTCAGTTTTTATGGACTATGGCAAAAAGTCTAAGATCAAACCAGAATAACGAATCAATCAAGAACAATTATAGATTTGATAATAACACGAACAAACAAAATTTAATTGCAAATGTTACGCATACTCCTAAGATCAGTGATCATTCATGGATATGTTTTGAAGTTGAAAGTATATTTGATGCTAACAAAGTGGAAGAAATTACTAATATTAACTATGTAAAATTACGAGAAGCTCTTTTACTGCAAGATATGACTGACGCGTTTGTTGGTGTTGACAGCTACTATACAAGTCATGTTAGTTTGTTTTTGATTGTTAATTTGTTTGTTCTTCGTAAACTTTAAATTAATTTATGTTTGAGATTATTTTTGGTCATTTTGTTGTTGTTACTTGTTTTTCTCGTGAATATGGAATATTTTTATGACGAACAGACTGATGTTGTTAGTACTTGTATTCTGCGCAGGTAATCGCAGAAAAAGTGTTCGTGTTTATCAAAGATATCCGATTCGACAAATACCAAATCGTCAGACTTTTGCAAAACGTTTTACATGAATTATTACAACTGCCTCTGAATATAAGAAAATACATGTTTTTTATGTACGATGGTGCTACACCTCACTTTGCGGGTGCTGTAAGAAATTATTTGAGCGAGAAATTTGATCGTACATGGATTGATAAAGGCCAAGAAACTCATATTCAATGACCACTTCATTCCCCGAATCTTAAACCTTGCGATTTTTTATATGGGGAGCATTGAAAACAAAGGTATACGAGGTTCAGATAGACAACGCCAATCAACTATGGGATAGGATTAAAAATGCTACAAAAGCATTGAGGAATAAGGACATCTTAGAGAAGGTGGACTATAATTTTTTTACGCCGTATTTGTTTTCTACAGGAATGAAAATGGTGATCACATCGAACACCTTTTATGGATTCGCACTATTGCCTGTATTAAATAAAATTGTAATAAGCAATATCATACTTTTTATTTTCGTTAACTACACTTAAAGAATTAATAAGACGCTTGGGAACCTCTTTATGCAACTAATTTGTTCTCGAAAACTACCCGAGATTGGGGTTTTATAGAAGGCAAAAAATTAAGTAAATAAAAGGATCTGCAAAATAACTTCAGAGTCGTCGGGAAAGTTGCCAAAAAATTCTGCTTTAATTTATCTAGGAGTTGAGGTAGTTTTCTCACTTCGTTTTTTTTTTGTAAAATTCAAAGGTTAGGACGTCTAGCAGAACAAATGTGTTCCACATTACATGCAATCTGACTATCGGTTCCAAAAATATCTGAAAAAATGTGTTTGAAAAGAGAACTTTGACGCTATCTGATTGACATATGCTAATATACAGAGTGTCATATTATTCCGTGGATATAGGAGTACCACGTATTTTTCTTTTCAAAAAACATTTTTTCAGATATTTTAAGATTATAATGAAATTTGGAACACATATGTTTGGATAGACGTTTTATTTTTGAATTTTACGAAAAACTCCAAAGGAGTCGAGAAGGGTGAAAACTACCCCCACCCCTACATAAATTATAGGAGAATTTTTCGGCATCTTTTCCGAAAGCCAAAGTTGAAATGCAGTAAATGCACGGTGCAAGTGCCCTATTTATATATCCTTAATTATTTCATTTGGACCTGCGATTGAGTGCTTCCGCGCCAGACACCTCATGTCAAGGCCCATTAAATCGTTAGGGCTGTAGCATGTAAAATAGGTATTTGAAAGTTATTTAGACCATTACTAGAATAATGTTACCGTTTTTTTTTCAGAATGGTATTGGAAGTGCCTATTATATTGTTATACCCAAAAAATTCTTGCCATATTAGCTGGTATATTTTCTATATGCGTCGTTTGGTCGGAGGTGACATTTTTCAGTGTTTATCCGCCATTATCGATTTTTGCAGTTCTAGTCAATGTAGCTAAGGAACGCTACGATTACCTCTCCATAGAAGTAAGTAGTCCTTTTTATCTCCATATAAGTATAAAACATTTTGTCGTATACAAATATGAGACAATTAATAAATCCCTTTAGGCTATATTACCTTCTGGAACTTATAACAGCTTACCACAAGCGATTGCTGAATGTAAAATATGTGATGGAATGAAATTATATTTTTTCCAGTTCCTATCTACTATAGTAATCCTATATCTGTGCTACTGCGCTTACTCTACGGTGCTGAAGATACGAGTACTTAACCTGTACTATCTAGCTCCTCATCATCAAACCAATGAGTATAGTTTAGTATTTTCTGGTATGATGCTCAGCCGTCTCACGCCGCCTTTGTGTCTAAACTTCTTGGGTCTCATCCACATGGACAGCCATGTCATCAAGAGTCAGATTATGGAAACTTCGTATACACAAGTAAGATAGTATTAACTAACCCATTAGCAATAAGGCTAAATTTATTTTTTTTGTACATCTTCCTTATCAACATAAAATAGTCTGAATTATTCTGAGGGCCAGGTGCTCATTTTTTTCTCATTATTTTTTAGGCTATTCATTTTTACTAATTTTTTCATAAATTAGTAGTTTTTATCACTTTTTTGCCGTTTCCACAAACATTTACTAAAATGTCCCTAAATCGAAAATTACATCATCATGTATTAACAAGACTGTCAGATAGTATTGTAGTCGTGTGAAACATGAAATTTGTTTGATTAAGATTTATTTAGCATGATTGCTACAATTACATTCTTAAAAAAAAGACATATTACATAACATACAGATATTAGGAAAGCACAAGTCCATGAAATATTCCTTGAATTTTCTTTTAAATATCTTTAAATTGCCAGTAAAGTTCTAAATGTTGCGGCAAAAGATGATTTTTTATTTTAATTATAAAAATAAGAACCAAATGTGAGAGAAGTTTCAACCACTGCCATTCTTGTAACTTAGATTTTCTTTCGGTGTACTTATTTTTATTCAATATTATTCTCATAGCTTTATTTTGCAGTAAATGCGGTAGAATAATTGTATTATAAACTATTTTTTGGAATATGTACTAAGACTGTGCGAAGCCCTATAAAAGTGATATGATTTTTTTGCAACTTTTGAAGTAATGTATTCATAGTGATCCTAAAACTTTAGTTTACGATCAATATATACAGGGTGTTTCAAATTCGACCCTCACCATTGGTATCTCGGATACTGTAAGACATACAAAGTCGCTTAAATAGGCGCAAAGTTGCGGTAATGAAAAATATGCCGCTTAGAAAGTTTCAAAATTCATGGTACTTCGGGAGAGAGACGGAAAAAACGAGTTTTCCCAAATTCGTTTTAATTTTGTTGACTTTATTTGTAGTGGGATTCCAAAATAAATTGCAAATTGAAGTTGCCACTTTTTCTCCTTTACAGTAAGGCATAATTTGAATTTGAATATGACTTTTCATCTCTTATTCTCCAGCATCGACTTTATTTTTTCCTATAGTCGCCATATTGGATTTTTGCACAGATGATTAGAGTTTTCTATTTTGATTCCAAAAATGTATAAAACGTCATACATTGATGTTGCCAAACCCTAGTTATTTCAAAAAAGCATAATTAGAATTTTGAATATATGTTTTGTCTTTGATGATTAAAATTATGCGATATAGAAATTTTGCATACGTGAATAGAAAAATATTGATTTAAGAAATGTATATGTAATGACAGTTTATATTGAAATATTTCAGTTATTGCAAAAATGCATATTTTCATAATTAGCCTTTGATCATGACAGCTTATCACATGTGTATTGGACTAAATGACCAAATAAAGAATGATTTAGATTTGAGCTACATCCTTAAAAAATAATTAGATAGTTTGCTATTTGTTGACTATAACTAGCATTATTTTTAGTGTGACGAAGCCACCCTCAGCCAAACGTTAATATTTAAATTGTTCTAGACATTTGAAGTTTTCTAACGTAAAATATGTATAAACTACTAATGACAAGTTCAAAGTTCATGTATACTAGAAAAAAGGATAGCTTGCCTAGCTTTTAAGTTGCATTTATGATGTATTGACTTTCGTCATAATAGCAGAAAATCTTATTTTTTACAGATAATGGGTCACATGGACGTTATAGGAATAATTTCTCATGGATTCAACATCTACTTTCCTATGGCGATTTTATTATTTTGTCTAGCAACTTATTTCAGCTTAGGCTCTCGTTTTCTCTCCATGCTAGGATTTCAACAATTCATCGGAGATGATGAGATGACTACAGACTTAGTAGAAGAAGGTCGTGGGCTCATTAAAAGAGGTAATATTTAATATTAGATTGTGACGACATGTGAGATGCTTGTGAAAAAATGTGTCTTCTATAACCGACTTGATGCTCCTCCCACATACACACGAAAAATCAGTTCTACCCTGGGTGTTTTACTGTTAATGTGATAACACTTCTGCTATGAGTGCGCAGTTTGAATTTACGGTTTTTTTATCTTATTATAAACTTCATCTGTGAAAAAGCAAGTAGCAGCTGCGTTAAAGATTCATCTGCAGTGAGCAATTTTCCTTATTTAAGAAAGTTGAGCTCCATTCATCTGTGCACTGGTTTCATAAGACTGTAACCGCCAAAATCGTTGAAAACCTATACGTAGATTAAATCATGGTTTAGAAATTCGGTAAGAGTGTTCAGTATGGTTTTATACTATCCATTCCAGGTTTGCAAGAGCGACTAGCATTTGTGTTGATGGGAGCAATTCAGCTAAGATATTTTCAAAATGGTAGCGCTTCCGGTTATACTGGAAGTCGATACTAATTTGCCTATTTTAAATGAGACACTGTGCATGTTAATCAATTTTTATATTCTACCACCAGTAGGCATGATAAGTAAAATGAAAAACGCTGTCATGCTTTCTACCATGCACTGTGAAGCTGATACAAGTAAATCTTTCAGTTGTCAGCAATAATAGATTTTTATATCGGAACAAAGGCTAGATCTGCTTTGTCATACCTACAGTTTATCGCGCAAAACTCGTTGCTGGAAACTTTGTGAATAAATCTGTCAGTTTTTCAGCAGTAATAGATTTCTATATCGGAACAAAGGCCGGAGTTTAGTGCGCAAAACTTGTCGCTGGAATCTTTGTGCTTTTTTATGTCGGCTACTAAATATCGTGGAGATCAATTCCATTGTATTGTTACTTTCATCAAATGTCACTAAAAAGCAAACTTTCAAGAACAGATGCACTTACCTGAAATAACTCGCTTTTGATTTCATGAAACCTCACATAGAATAAAGATTTCGACACCGAACTTTGTCAACGTGCCTATAAATAAGTGTGCGGAAAAGGTATGCGCGCGGAAAAAGTAGTAGTAGAAAGATTTATTTAGCACATTTGGCTACATAAACAGAATAATTGTAAACAACTTAGAATTAGTAAATTCAAGCCATATGATGTATGATGTAAATGCTGGGCAAGCTATAATTGTAGATTTAACAAGTGATTCCTCAATTTTTCGTTAAATTTTGTCAAAGTTTTCTTGTCTTTTATCTCTGTGTATAATTTATTATATTCAATCAACCCTTGATGGAATACAGATTTGTAGCATATGTTATACATTTTGGTCATTAAATGGAAGTCATCTTTATTTCTGGAATTATGTAAATCATGGTCGGCATTTGATGATGTTAAATTACTTGATAGAAATATATTATTTTTTACTTTATATATGAATATCATTACAAGATATTTGATAAAATTGTTTACATTGAGCCATTTTAATTTGCTAAGCATTTGCCTAATTGGAGTATATTTATCTTTATTCAGTATTATTCTCATGCACTTATTTTGTAAAATTTGCAGTCTTTCAAAAATAGAATTACTTGCTAAATATAGAATAGTCGAACAGTACAAAAAATTTGGAAGAATGATGGTATTATAGATAATTTTTCTGCTATATAAACTCAGACATCCAGAAACTCTCGATAAATATCCCACTTTACTACTAATCTTATTTATAATTTTTTCATAATGAATATCAAAAATTAATCGAGAGTCAACAAAAACCCCCAGGTATTTAAAATTTTCTACGAATTCAATATCTTCACCATCAATATTTAGTTGAACATTTGTACATTGTTTTTTCCGATTAACATAGCTTTCGTTTTACTTGTATTTAATGTTAGTCTGTTAGATGCTAACCATTTTGAGAAGCCTTCTTTTATATAAGAGATACTAGTCTTAATATTTTTAGTACTTATATAAATCATAGTGTTATCGGCGAAAATCTGAATTTTGCATTTTTTGACTATGGCAGGTAAATCATTTATGTATAAAATAAAAAGAAGTGGTCCCAGGATACTGCCCTGTAGAACACCCAACGTATTTTCAATTTTGAAATAGTGTCATTAACTTTTGTAACTTGCATCCTTTTAGACAAATACCTAACAAAATATCTCAATCAATCGTTTCAAATGCCCTCTTCAAATCCAAAAACACTGCTAAGGCAACTTTTTCTGAGTCTATGGCTCTTCTCCAATTCTCAGTTACCAACGGGAAAGCCGTTTCTGTGGAATATTTTTTGCGAAAGCCTGCTTGCGCCTCCACAAAAATTTTGTTTTCTTCTATTAACTGCATTAATTGGTCATGCACTACGGACTCCAATAATTTTCAAATGTCTGGTAACACATTGACTGGTCTCATATCGCTGCATCTTTTAGAATTTTTTATTTTGGGAACTGGTGTTATTGTAGAGCATTTCAAATTTTTAGAAAAAGAACTGCTTCTCAGTGAACAATTGATGCAATTTAATACAGGATATCCCAGAATTTCGAAACAGTTTTTCAGCACATTTTTAGTAGTGATTTCGGCACTGTTGTTGTTGGATTTTAAACTGTTTATTTTTTTTCTCAGATAATTCAATGATACGCTATGAAATTTTGAAAGTGTCCCCCTGGAAACTGATTTTCATATAGTCAGGTGCAGCATTGACAGTACCCACGATATCAACAATACTTTCCACAAAATATTCATTTAGTTTATTTGCAATCACCAGAGAATTTATTTCGGTACCGTTTTCGAATTGAACTTGATTTACACAATCATGCGGCTTCGAATTGATCAGTCTTTTTAAGTTTTCCACATCTTTACACTGTCGCACTGGTTATTATCGATTTGTTTATCGTAGAATTTCCTTTTTTCTTCTCTAATTACATACAAACATTTATTCCTAAGAGTTTTATGTAACCTCCCAATCATCATTTGATTTTGTGAATATACATTTTTAGTATTGTTTGTCTCTCAAATTTTGAGTTGCCTTAATATTTTTGTTATACCAGGGTGTATTTTTTGTCGAGCATGTTGTCATATATTTTTTCCCGATTCTCACCAAAATTCCAATAGCAGCCAGCAAGTTCTCGTTAAGTTTTTCGTAGTTAATAGCATTCACGATTTTCTTAATTTTTGTAGCAGGAAAATGTCCTACCAAGGGCAGCATTGTCCAACTGTAATGGCTAACTTTAGATCCCTGCACATTCAAATTTACAATAATAAGATCTAACAAAGTCTCTGATAATAATGTTATTCTGGTACTCTCTTCAATTTTTTGCTTGAACCCATAGTCATTTATGGTTTCTTTCAATTTTCTTGTTTTCATGCTTTTGCTATAATAATTTAAATTAAAATTACCTAAAAGTATTATATTGTTTCCAAAATTCCACATTTCTTCGCAATTCTCTTCAAAAAACATTAAAAATATATCCGCATCACATTTCCCAAATAATTTAAACTGTATATGTCCATAGTCTAAAGTGGTTTAATCTAATAATTTGATCTGTATTTTGCGGTAAACATAAATCACTACAGCTCCAGTATGTCTGGAGTTGGAGTTGCATCTGTAGGTTTTATAATTCGTAATTTGTAATTCACCATCAGCGATGTCTTCTGTAGCATGTGTTTGGGTAAGACATAACACCAGTGGTTTTCTCCATCTTAAAAACTATTGAACTTCATCTACGAGCCCCTTCCCACTTCAGTTGGCCCACTTCAAGATTTGTACCAAAATATGCCTTTATAAACTAAACATGATGAAACTATTTACTTCTAAAACAATTTATTTTCTCAAAAACATTTTAGATACACTCTAGTCATAAAAAGTACATATTTGAAATCACTTAGACCTATAACTAATAGAACATCTAAACAAATAAACAATGTGCGCATAAATGCTCGAAGTTAACAAAGCAACAATTGAAAGATTCCATTGGGTAAGATCACCTTTATCTTTTATTACGGCTGAAACACAAAATCTTGGCCGGATGCCAAACATTCTTCCATCATTGGTAAAAGCGATTCTTCTAAAATTGCCAAATATTTGTTTGCATCCACATTTCCATCAATAAAATGAAGTTTTCCTACTCCCTTTAATGACATACTGCTCCAGACCATAATGGATGCTGGAAATTTCACTTTTCTATTCGGACAGTCAACATGGAATGCTTCATTTTTTTTGCGAATAACTCTACTGCGACTGTCACCAACACAAACTTCGAATCTGGCCTCATCACTCCATTGTTGAGGTGTCCATTGTCTATGTTCTTTAGCCCATCTAAGCAGATTTTTTTTTGCAGTGGAGTTAATAATAATAAGAAAACTTACCTTGCAAGTGCTAAATCCCAGTTCGTGGGCCTCTCTATGAGTTGTGGACCTCGAAATTCTCCTTCCAACAGCGTCACTCCACAGAGCACTTAATTGTAAATAATTGGCACGCCTGTTTTTCACGATTATTTTTCTTAATGCTCTTCGGTCGGCATTTGTCATATTACTTTTTTTCACATATCGTGGCTTAATTGTAACTGAACCACTTACGTTATATCTTCTAACAATATTTCTCGCACTGTACCGCGATATGTCTAACAAAGTTGCAATTTCTGAGTTTGATTTCCCAGAATAAAAAAAATTTTATTATCAGTAACCGAATTTTCTCACTAATAACCTTTCCTCTACCCATTTTGAAAACCTTAACTACCCAAAACTATTTTAAACGTATTGTATGTTCAAATGGTATATTGAGTTATATTCACTACTTGCAGATTTAGCCACATCTTGCAAATCTGGGCTTAGTAGTTGCTATTCATTTGTATAACTAATTTTTTCCCTCTCACGCTCAATTTTCCTTTTATATACTTCACAATTTTTGTCAAATGGTCCATGATTAATAGGTAATCCTAGATTAAAATCCTGGTTTGCACTTTTACAATTTGGACAGCATTTGTACATTTCATTGGTACTACAGTTTTCTGTTGAATGTCCTAATAATCCACAAATGAATGCATTTTCCTGATTTTGTGCAGTATTTAGCTATGTGGTTAAACCCGGTACATTTATAGCATCGCAAAACATTGATGTACTCGAAAACAGAGCAAACAGACATGTCGATAAAAATAACACCCTCAATCATAACACTTGAAGGTCACAGCATCTCACATCTAAAATTTCTTGATATTTAGTTTTCATTTTCTTGACTGTAATTAATCTCATAAGTGAATTTTTCTGAAAATATTCATTTTGTGATTTTATAGTATTTATTAGCTCGTCTGCTGCATATTCTTGACAGAATCCAATAACTTTGATTTGTGGATCTGTGAAGTTTTCACTGTATATCTTTCTGGTATTTTTGATTTTACTTATTTATGTAGCTTCTCGATATCATCTTTTCTTTTACATTGGATTTTCACCCCACCATCCTTCAAATCATAAACTTTATACAATAGCAATTTTCAAACTGGTACGATTCTTGCTGAATTCGATCGGAGCTTTTTCTTCATGATACGCTACAAGGTTCCAATCTGCGATAAATTTGTACTACTCGACGACCATTTTAAAACCGAAATATTGTTTTCTAACATCCAATCTTGTATTTTTTTAGCCGTATGACAAGCGGAACCATCTTGTTGGAAGGCACATTCAATGTTATGTAAACGCATTTGTTCAATTTGGTATATTAAGTTATTTTGAAGCATATTAATGTACATATCAGCATTCATCATACCTTCCACAAAGTGTAAGTTTCCCACTCCACGTGCTGACATGGACCCCCAAATCATATCAGAAGCCGGACAGTCAACTTTTTTTAAGACATACGCATACTTCAAATCTGGCTTCATCACTCCAAGTAATGAAGTTCCATTAGTTCGGAGACCATGATTTGCCTAGAAATACTGAATTAAAAACTAATAATAAGAAATAATTTAAGCCTACCTTGTAAGTTTCAAATCCCAATTTTTGGAGCAGCCTAGCTCTGTGACATGTTGCTCTTGAAAACTTTTATTTGTTGCCTCATTCCATAATATTTTCAATCCGTTAGCACGCCGATTTCCAGTTCTGGATTTTTGAGCCACATTCCCATTGTTTTGTACAATTTAATAATAATTCGAACTGATACCTCAATTTGTTAACACTGTTAGCGATTTGTCTCCATCATGTATTTTGCTATACACAAATCATTTTTCGAAATAAAAAAGCTTTCGCGTCGGTTTTGTTATCTTTCCACTAGGATTTAAAGAAACCAAAACCATTATATTTGAAATAAAATTCTAATCAGTACAGCAAATAAATTTACAAATACGTTTTGGGGCGATGGGCCAACTTCACCTAGACAGGGCTTGTATATATACCACCTATAAAATCATGAAACCATACCATACCATACCACCTTACAAATCCTGGCTGATCAGCAATACCAAAATTAATATGGCTTAAGCTTGAGTCAGACTGTTCATGGGCAGGTATTTAATGGCTACTATATATGTTTTCAGAGAAACGAAAAAGGCAGAGAGCAGAAGAGACCTACAACCGAAGAAAGGAGTTTGAAGATAGATTTCCTACTGGTAATAGGAGAATTAGGCAATCAAGGAGCACTGCAGATACTGGTAAGTTGAAGTGCTGCTGAAAACATTTCCATACTAAATTCATTGTTAATTGGAACTGATTTGTATTGTATTAGAGATATACGAGTTGATTTTTCGGCGATCGGACGTATTGTGCTAAAAAGTTTCTCCTTATATCAATAATAGGGGATTTTGATTTGTCCTAATGAGTCACTTGATTTATGCAATCTACAGTTTTATCATATTCCCTATTTTTGTTTAAGTTTTATTTAGCATGATTGCTACAATTACATTCTTCTAAAACACTAAACAATTACATAACTTACAGATATTCAGAAAAAAACAAAATTTGCAACTCTAAGAATTTTCATTGTCCATGAAATATTCCTTTAATTTTCTTTTAAATATCTTTAAATTACACGTAGACTTTATATCATTATTTAGTTTATTAAATTCAAGTAATCCTTTCTGAAATATTGATTTGCTAGTTATATTACTATTGCAATTTGGTAAATGAAAATTTATATATGTAAAAATTTTGTCACAAATAGCCTCTTCTTGTCTCAATCGAAATGAAATAAAGGGTGTCCCAAAATATGAATGAAATATTCCTTATTCCTCATTTCATAAATATAAATTGCGAAATATTACAAAATCAATATTTCTGAAAGATGTACGAACTACCAATTTTGAAATTTAATATTGGGAAAGATATGTAATATACCAGAAATATCTCTGAAAACTAATGTGCTGAGTGGGTTAGCATGAAAAGAATATAATACCGCTCGCTGTTGATCCTAATTCTTAATTTTTCTTTATTATAAAACGAGATGCTTCTTATTGCAGGTCGACAGATGGAGTCGACAGAGAGCAACTCCCGCTCAGTTTTGCGAGATTCTCATGGCCTGGAAACATATGGAGGTTCTCGTTTTGAAGTGGACACCAGATTTCCTCCCTTGGAACAGGATGACATAGATTCTCGTTTTGGAGCCAGCACGGGGGTAACGAGTAACCAGGATCATACTTTCTCGTCTTTGAGAGATGATAGACCTTACCAATCAAGTGATGAGTATAGTAGGGGCTATAGGGTAGGAGGTGCACCAAGAGGGATATTTGATGACGTTTAAGAAAAAGAAATAGACACTAGAAATATTTAACATAATGGTCTTTGTTTACTATACTGTATCACACTAGGACTCTTCTCAGGCACTACGTACAGCAGTCTATACTAGTATTCACCATTTGGTAAGCGTTCCGTTCTAGTACAACTATTGACATAGATGTCAAAATAACCAATTTTTATTTTCGCTTTTTTGGTTGCATCTAGTTAGCAGTAATTATATTATATTTTCGATGAACACTAAGAAAATAGTTATTTACCTGACAAGGGCAGAAAATACACTTTCCGCAAGTGTTAGGTATAAGATTTCTTCTAACAGCGCAGCACGAGAAAATAATAAACCTAGAATTTTAAATACGTACTATGTTTTATTAGAAATTTCATAATTGAAAACTCAACATCATCAGCAAAAACAACATCAATAATTCATTTATAATAGTTATCAACAATATTAAAGGTAAAAGAACAGTTATTTGGATTATGAAAACTGCTCTTGAAACACAACTAGTGCCGTCGGCTTCACTTTCTTCTAAAATTTCATGTTCTCTAGAACGTCCTGTAGAAGTGGCACTGCTTGTGCTGCCCGGGCTTTGTGACGTGAAATCTGAGTTGCTTTCCAGGATTTTCTTGAAAGTATCCTTTTTATTTTCTAACGATTCGGCTATATACCCTTCAGTCACAGATGTAGACTTCCAGCCGCCGCGTCTCTTGATGTCGGGGATAGTGGTTCCAGAGTCTGTCAACATTGTAGTAGAAGATCACCGAAAACTATGGCCGTTATAAAGCTCAGGATAGAGTAATCCCAAATAACCGGCGGTTTCAGCGGGCATGTTCCCAAAGGTATTGACCCGACGCATTGGGTGGTACATACTGTACTGTACTGTATATACTGTATGAAAAATCTACCATGTGGTGTGGATTGTGGACGAATTGATACATATTTGCGGTACGGTGCTAAATATTCATTTGATGATTCTTCCGATGTCACGAACATTTTGGTGCTGTGCATTTTGGTGTTAGGGATCTTTACTATCAAAAACGTATATTTTTTTTCTATATCTTCGACTACTATTCATGCCAGTTCGTTCCGCCAGCTAATCCAAACAATGTGACTACTTTTACCATTAGATGGAGATAGATATCACCGGAAGCTTTATTGAAACCCAGTATTTTGTTTTTTAAGGAAAGCTGTTACCTTATAATATTTTGCAATATCGATATTTCTTCTTATTTTGAGTGTAGCTTTCGACATAGAATAATGTGACGATCATGTTGAAGGCTTACAAACTTTGGCTATGTCTGCAAAATATGCCAGGAAGACTTCCTTCTTGGTTGAGGATATGTTCTTGAACTGGCACCACTTATCAAAGTTCCCGTGCTTCTTTTCGTAGCGTTATTGGATTTTGCGGGTGAAAGTTCTAGCTTTGCGGCATTTGCGGCTTCCAAAATACTGATCGGAATATCGTCTGCTTCCATAACTCCAGCAAAATTATTAATTTTTCGTGATATTAAGAAAATATGCATTTAAAATAAGACGACAGAGACTCGTATTTGACAAGTATGTTTGACAAACAAAATTTAGTCTAACCACAGCAACAAATAATCCGATATCTCGGCCTATTAAGTGACGTATGATTGATTAAAAATAAGGTACTTGATCCAAATATGTGACGCCATATTAACGTTTGATTTTGGATAGGTTCTAAATATCATTTAAAATTTTGTGAATCCTGGTAATTATTATCTCTCCATATATTAGAATAAAAAATATAGTACTATGTTTTTTTATAACAATTCAAAGAAACAAATTTTTGTTTTTTGATATAAATTGCAGTTAGCGCTTTTAGGAACACCTTGCCCCAAATAACGCCAACTATGACCTTATTTAAAAAATATATAAAACGTTATATAGTGATAGAAAATAATGATTATTAACGTAAGAGTTATTTAAAATTTATTGAGACTCACAATCAATACAAATAAATGAAATTTTATCACGTTTCGATAAACCTACTCACTCTTTATTATCATAACGGTTACAGATGACACATAGACGCATATCACAAATCCGATCTTCTTGACAAATAAAGCAATACCAACTCCCTTGGAGTGAAACTTTTATTTTTTTCTTTGAATTTATTTTTCAGTAGATGTAGAAAATAAATCTCTGACAACAACTTGTGCCGTTGCGTTAATTGCTTTGCGCTTTTTCACACTTGTCGTTGCCTCAATATCAGAAGTTGGAAAAAACTCAGTCAAGCTTTGGTGATTTTCACCATTCTCATTATAATTTTGTACCCCTTTTTGGTCTTTACTTTTTCTGTTATTATTACTCGCGTCGAATTTTGGTTTTTCTTGTTGTTTTAACGTTTACTTCGGTATTTTTATTTTCTGTACCAAAGTCTCCTGTTTTCTTCACGAATTTTATTCGTTACTTTCGGATTCATCTTGATGCCTTCCTTAATGTTTTGTGCTTCAATTTCCTTTCTATCAAGATTATTTTCAAAGTAATCAGCTTGTTTTGAAGAACTACTATTTCCCTTCCATTATTTTGGTGGATGTCACTACCTTCCATTATTTTGGTGGATTTCACTACCTTCCATAACACCTTGGGTCTCACTTTTCTTTTATTTTTTTAATTTATTGTCAAAGCTCTCAGGCTGCTTTGAAGTGCTGGGCATTTGTAACAAATCTTCCATTTCCTTCTCATTCGGTTTCTTCTTTTAATGGATTTTACTGGATTTGCAAATGTTAACAAAACGAGATAAAGGTTCATCCGAATCAGTGAAATCGCTCGACTGTTTGTCTGTCATCCCTCAAGTCGCTGTCAGTGTTTGTTATTCCTAGCGTGTTTTCCCCTGTTGTTTCTGGGCTAACCCTGTACGATGGGGAAATGGGTGCAAAGGCAATATCTGGAATCACAGAGGGATTATATGGAAAAATTCCAGTTGATTTGAAAGCGGATTGTAAGTTTTGAAGTGACATTGCCTTCGAAAAAAGTTTCTACAGAATTTTTCCAAATCGTGCACGTGTGATTTTACTTTCTGCAAGAGTGGTCCAGTAATTTAAGATTTCTTCATCCCAATAGTACTCGAAGCTCCTAAATACACATTTGTCTAGTGGTTGAAACTCATGCGTCGTATTACTAGACAAACAAAACAAATATCTAATTTGTCTGCAGTTTCGACTATGGAAATATCAAGATGGGATGCTGCACCATCAAAAATTAAAAGTGAATAATACCATGCTTGTCCAACGGCACTTCCACATGCCACTATTGTTACGTTCTTCGCATGTTCTAGAGCGATTATATGGACCCTAAGACTACCTTTTCGAGTTAGAACATGCTGTTTCGTCCATGTTATAAATTAGGTGGAGTTTGTCGAATAAATCTTTATCAGCTGGTATCTTTATCATCTTTAAAAAGTAGTCATTTGACGAAATATCGATTAACCTTTTGACCTCTTGCTGGGTTAAGTACCTGAGCCTTTTTATTAGCCATCTGAGGATGGCGTTTTAGAAATGATGTCATCCATTTTCTTCCCGCTATATTTTTATGCTGGTTAAAACAGTGTTTTATACCCGCAGATCGGACAAAAGAATAAACAGACCTGCAAATTAATTTATTTGTAAGCGCTAAGCGAATAATCCGTCCACATAATTCAGACTCTTGCTCATCATTGAGCACAGAACGCTTTGAAGTCTTTTAAAACTTGAAGCATTTTTAATATGATCCCGTAGAGTTGTACGTGGAATTCCATTATGCACATTATGTAGAGCTTCTTTTAGGGATTCTTCAGTCCAGAAACGTCTTTTTTTCGGGAGGCATTGCGCCTTATACGAAACAAAATAGACGAATTCCTGTATACTCCTAACAACGGCATACGATTCCTAATAACGCCATCGGAAGATTCTCGGCTGGCGTTATTAGGCGCACTCAACCTAAAATTTATAGTGCCGATTTTACAAAAACGGCTTACGTTTTGATTCAAACTATAATCTAGATCTAAAATAAACTTACAAAAAACGACGTGGATATCAACAAATATACTTTACACAATGATTAAATAATAAAAAATAATAAATCTGCCTCCTCTCTCTCGCCCCTCTTGGTACATTTGTTTCACATGATCGCCGAACTAAATGTCGCTTTTTTAGTTCTAGTGCAAGGTTCCTTAGGTAGAGTCTTATTATAACAGAATATTGTTTATTATTTACGACATAAATAAGATGCGAGCTAACGCCTGCTAGATTCAGTAAGGGATAGAAATTTCTCGCTACGTTAAATGTGGCACCAAGCTTGTCCAAATTATCAACGCCTCATTTGGTGTGGTTTTAGTACGTTATGATTGTAGGCTTACTTTTTTCTTTTGTTGATTTATCTATTATCTACTATCTAGCATCGTGGTGCAAAGATGAAATTAAAATTTCATTTTTATATTTTTTGGGGACATAAGACACCATATTGTCATAACAAACATCTCGACTTCTTGTATTTGTGAATTCCGGTTCCCTTTTATTTTTTTATGGTACAAACAAATGTTAGACTGTGTTTTTTGAGTAGTTTCTCTACCAGAGGGACGCTGGTAAACTAATTGTCACAAGTCAAATTTCTATTTGTCCCAGAATAGGTTCAACAAGGCGTAAAACAGCAAGATCGTTATTTGCTTTGAAAGGCCCATCGGGTTATATAATTACATATACCTCTAAATTGGCACAATATGACGTGGAAGCATTGACAATAGCAAATATCTTAACTCCATATTTGATTGGCTTACTGGGGATGTACTGCTTGAATCCAAACGCCCACGGAATGCTTCAAGTTTCTCATCTGTGGTTGCATTGGTTCCGGTGCGGTTCTGGACAAATTTATCAAAAGTTGATCTTATTGGTGTCAACTTATCAAATTCTTTTCTTTCATTACTAGTAGAAAGATCGTCGAATCGCAGTTAAGGAGGAATCGAAAACGCTGTTCGGACATTGTCACCCAAAATCTTTCAATGCCAGTTCCTTGTCTATCCCAAATTTCCTTCGTGATCAGTTTGCTACTTTTGTGAGTTCCAGCAAGGTACAGCAAATCAAATTAATTATCAATTACTTTCAAGAAAGTCTGTTAATTTCGCGGCTCTATCTCTGGAATAGTTTTCAAATATACGAGTAATATACAAATTTGTGTTTTCGACTGTTTCTTCGGGCATTTCATTTGAGAAAAATGACCAGCATTCAGTTTCGGAGCGAGCATGTTTTCCATAATCTCGTACCCCAGGAAGGCGCACAATTATGTTTTCTTGCCTAGTTCATGAAGTTTTCTTAGTGCAGTGTTTTCTGCATCTCGTCTTATTATCCTTACCAAGCCCGAAAGTACCTTATTTCTTTGTTGCTGACGCAGCATTCGGCTTACATAAACATTTGTTGACACCATACGCTGGCACCCACTTGACTGTTGAAAAGAAGGTGTTTAACTACATAGTATGTAGAGCAAGAAGTTACGTAGAATGCGCCTTCGGAATATTCAGTAATAAATGGCGAATTTTCTACCGTCCCTTGAATGTATATCCTGATTTTGCTACAGACATTGTCAAAGCCTGTATTGTGCTCCATAATTATGTAAGAGATAGAGATGGGTACGTAGTTGAGGATACTACATCAATTACAGGACTTGAAGATATTCAAGTACCGTGCAATACAAGAGGAGGTTTGACAGCCAACAACATGAGAAACATTCTCTGCAAGTACTTCTGTCAAGTGTTGGAAGCATTCCTTGTCAGATGTCAAAGATCTGAGAGCCCCGATTCGTGAAACGAGAAAACACAAGCAATTATCAAGATTGGTTAATTCACTTTTATTAAGTTAATTTTGGTTTTTTTAGTTACTTTTGTTTAGATGCCTTCATTTTTTGTATCCATAAATTAAAAATAAATTAAATACTATCATCTCGATAGTTGTTAGTGAAACAAATTTACAAAAAAATATATTTGAAATCAATTCAATCGCATTAACATTATTTGTACTTACCAAAGTCATTCTTTTTGCTGTCTTCCAGGTTGTCAAAATCCTTCAGCAGTTCGAGACAAACTTCATGCCACGCATTCCTTGTGGCGTTCAGATCTTTGAAACTCTCCAATGTTTTGTCTCACAGAACAGGCCTTGTTTGGACACAATGGATCAACAATTCATTGTCAATAACAACATCCATGTCGTCCATGATCAACCACCAGAGTGGGCCGTCGCGTCGCCGTCGGTCGGTAGACTTGACGATGAGTGTGTCTCCGTGCATTTAGTCACAAACGTCACCGCCATGCGAGGTCGGTAAAAAAACCGACGTCCGTAGTTGGCAGCCGGCGGCAGCATTTCTACCGTCGGCGTTGAAAAATCCGATCTTCTATTTTAACGCAGAATGTGTACATCGCCATAAGATCCCATCCGCTACTACTAGAGCGGCGTCGACCGCAAAAAACCGATCGGAAAAAAACGCCAAGTGTGTTTCCGGCGATACAAACACATTCGATATCAGCAATACTGGTATCTCCCGTAGATTGAATAGTAATGGACTTAGGAGGTCACCTTGCGTGACCTCTCGCTGGAGGCGTATTTCGACAGGCGACTGATCGAGTTCGATAGTTGTTGTCACATCCTCATATGTGTTTTCCACGATACGTACCACCTGTTCTGGAAAACCTTCGCGACGTAAAGCGTGTCCTATAGCTTGGTGCGTCACGGAATCGAATGCTTTGGACACGTCCAGCTGCGTTTCGCCATTCCATTCTCGACTTTCGACTGCCTCAACAGCTCATTGAGGATAAGAACATTATTGAAACACCCAGATTTGTTCATGAAGCCCTTTTGTCTGGATGAGAACCGTGTTTTTGCCCTAAGTTTGCCGTCGATTATGCCAAAGTAAATTCTCGACAGCAGCGATGATATGGTAATTGGACGGTAGATTTCAGCTAACTTACCGTCCTTACGATCTTTAGGGATCAACGTGGGCCGGTTCTTCCTTCAAGCGAAGGAAATCTTACCGTTAATCATAATTAGATTGAAAAATAGTTGGAGGACTTCGGTGGCTTAACACCTCCTTTCTTAATACCATCGGGGCCCGGTGCCGTGGACATTTTCATCCGGGAGAGACGCGAATACACCTCCTTCGCCGTCACTGCTGATGGGACAGAACCTAGCTCGACTGGCGGTTTAGAGGGCTCTCCCGAGAAGGGCACCTATACCTTACACGGATTTGTGCCCCATAACTTTCTGTACATGTCCCGCACGTCTTGAGCTGGAGCTTTTACCACTGGTTCCTCTAGCTAGTCCGCATTGTTCCCGACGTGCTTGCCAAGAATGCCTGGCTCTTTTTTCTATATATCCTGGGTACGAGCATAGATGTTGCCGCCTATTGTCGCTCTTGTTCAGTCCTCTATGCCTATCCTTACGGCCTTACGCCGCACTGCAACTCCCCGCTTCTCGCTGACGAAGAGAGCGGTGACCTATGCAGTGTGCAGAAGCCAGTCATATGCAGGCAGAGACGTCATTAATGCAACTTCAAATATTTTTCAAGAAATTTGGTCAAGCATCTCAAACCTGATTGAAATTCAGAAAGAATAAAGTATTTGTATGGTTACTGTTTACTTGTGCGACCTAATCTTCGTCATTTCAATAAAGGATATTTGCACAAATCAATTTACTATATTATTCCTATTGCTGTTTTGTAATAGTGCGTTATTTTTTTTGTGTCAAAACCACACTTCACTTAAATCGTTTCATAAAAATCACTGACATCTTTTTTGTAATGGCACCTCCAATCCATAAATCATTTATAACTCTTGATACGATAAAAAGTTTGTCTTTCAACATATTTCTAAGACAAACAAGATTATTTATTGTATTTAAAATAATTGATTTACAAATTGATGAAAAGAAAATAGCAGTGTCATTAAAAAATCCAGTTTTTTTTGGGATTTGTAGAAATGCTTTTGATAAATTATTTAAAGAGTATTGGTCCCCAGCCGAATTCTTTATTCAAATTTAAATTTAAACAAATTAAGAGTGTTATTGGAAGTGGAACAATGTAAACTTGTTTATAAAATTATAAATAATCTACTAAAAAGTAACATAAATATTAGGTTTTACCATAACGTGCATGATCACCAAACAAGATCACTAAATAATGTTTATCAAATTTCCACAAGAACTAATACAGGTTTAAAAAATCCGATCACAGACGCAATTAAAAAATTTAATAATTTACCTCATTGTATAAAAGATATAAGAAGTTTTGTTAGAGAATTGAAAGATTTTAAAAATGTTAATGAATTTATTTGTTGAAATTATGAGCAACAGTGCAGTGTACCTGTAGTTCATAGATATTGATTATTGTCTTGTTATTCTCGGGGCCAGTGTTTGCAAACACTGATTGGAGAATTATTGTTAAAACTGGTTATACATTTTGTATTATTGTGTTTAAATAAATTATTTCAAAGAAAAATACATTTTGCGATTTGTACTAATCTTCACAAGCGGTGAAGTTCTAGGCTGTTTGAGTGATTGTGGAACACCCAGTGTTTTTTTTTGAAATTTTTACGGTTGTATTTAATACCATTAATGGTTAAATTGGCAAAACATTGGGGGTGTCTATTACAAAAAGGTCAGCGGTTTTATAACTATATTTTAAAAAGGCAGTGCTTCCTGTTACAAATGCATCTTGCGAATTTTCCTGATCTTCACTCAAAGCGTACTTTTAAGGTTGTTCCAAATCCTCTAAAATAGATATTGTTGAATATGGACATGTGAAAATGAACCTTCCTAGAAACGTTATTCTATAAACATTAACATTTTCTTTACAGTGGTTGATAAATCATTTCTAAAGCAGAGCTATCGTTAAGCATATGACAATGAACATTATTTCATGGAAATTTAAAATGTTCGATACAGTAGATAATAAAAAGTTTAATACTCCTGTGCTTTGCCCTATGGTATTTCTGGTAAGGCTATGCATTTAGTATAATGTTCTTCTGCAGTGACCGATTCTTAATGGATATCCAGAGTCACCTGTAAAAATATATCTTTCATTATTACTCATCTTCAAGCAGGCATATAACAATAATTACAATTAAAGTAAAAAAAATCAAAATAAATGTTAGTGCTGAAATTTGTATGTTGCATAAAATACATGAAATATTCTCGGATTTGTTGCTGTATTGCTAATCTTACAGATAATGAGTCTGAGGTATTGATGTCATGATTGATGAATATTGACTTATTACTTCTGTTAATACAAAATTTCAACTTCCACAGCGATGGAATTATTATCAGGTAATGTAAACTTCCATGTATTGAAAAATTTTTGATGTAGCTGAACTCATTAGTTTCTCAATTAATAATCCACCATAAAATTTTGATATGCAATCTCACTTTCTTAATGGCAATATAATTACTATCCTCTCTGACAGTGTTTGAGGGAAGTAAATATGCTTAGATAGAATGTCTGGATGATTTAATGCATCCACCACTTCCCTTAGTGCTTTGGATACATCAGGTTGACTGAGCCTATGTAAATAACCCATGCCAATATGTTTCAGGCAGGAACCACAGGCCAGCACCAAAAGTGCTGCTAATACTAAAATCAATATGTTTCTATACTGTGGTAGGAAGGTGCAAGTAAGCTTATTTGATAATCATTATGAACTTCAAGTCATAGATACTGAAAAATACGCCGTAGGCGAGAAGTTTGCCGTCTTTGAACGTGCATTCTTTCACTTTCCAATGCTTCCATAAGCAAAAATTGCACGAGCCATCCCAGAGAATCAAAATTGCTGAAAATATGAATTGGGAGCATAAAATCACTTTTTAGACTCGTCAAGTTATTTTATTTCTTATTTGAACTTATTATAGTTATCTTTCTTGTTAAAAAAATAAATACTTTTGACAAATTTATAAAAAAACAAAACTAACCGATTGGCGACCGACTAGTCGACTACCACCGAGCAGTTGTTAATTTGACAGTTCAAATCGCTAGTAAGTTGCTGTTGGGTCGCTGTCAATGAGTAACAACTCGTTCACACGATACGGTACGGCACGGGAATTTAACCGAAACGACATTTTAACCGAATCGGGTCCAGTGTTCACACGATGCGGTATAATATTTTTGCGCGGATACGCTTCTTGTCAGTTGTTGATTGAGTTTGGCACAATGAATGCAAATATGTTGGTTTTAATGTATTGGTATCGTAGACTCTGTAAAAAACGAGTAATAAGGAGATATTGGGAACACCCTATTATTAGAGAAAGATTTAATTTGGGGTCCTTCCGGACACTTATGTGTCAATTAAGAAGAGATGAAATTAAATTTTTCAATTATTTTCGGATGTCTTCCTCTACGTTTGATGACCTACTTAATAGAGTGAAAAAAGACTTAACTCGAGAAGACACAAATATGAGAACATGTATCAGTGCTGAGGAAAAATTGGTGATATGCTTAAGGTAGGTGTCATTTTTTAAAAACTTTATTTTATATACAAATAAACAAATCAAAAATTGGAAATATCTAGATCTAAAATAGAATCTTGGCTTGCAACAGACTGTGTAGAGGGTGACGGTTCGGCAGTATATGGACTAGTCATTGGTGTTGTTACTCTTGAAATTGTTTGTGGCTGTGGCTGACTGTAATAATCATGATTTTGCCAATTATTGTAATAAGTGGCAATTGTACGCGATGGCATTTGAATATTATCGGCCAACCTTCGCTTCTTTGCTCTCATATTTTGCAATAAACTTAACACACTCGACTGAAATTCCAAAGTTTCATCTTCATCAAACGATGATAATGATGGAAGAAGACTTTTGAAGAATGTAAGATGACGATTTTCATCCTCTTTGACTGTTGAAACCTTGGATAAGTTGATTTGATGGTCTATGAATCGCATCATTTTGGCATCAACTTCATTAATACTCCTCTTTCTGCGTGCAGTAGAAGTACTGATGGGAGTACTACCAGACTGATTTGCTTCCATATTCGGTTGTTCAGGTGGAACACTCTCTTCAATAACTTCTGCATCCAAGTCTTCTATCTCGGTGTTATTTTCATTATTAGTGTTTTCATGACAAACAGTTGAATCTGTAATTTTTTTCAGGAATGACATCTGCTCATTATATATATAAAGTCTTGAAGGTTTGGTCGATGTGCCACTTGTTTTTTGGTCTTTATGTTTTTTCAATGCTTTCATCCACGAGTCTCGAATGTATGTCCACTTTTTTAAAATCAGCTTACCTGGAACAAATAAAATAAAACGTTCCTTCCTTTCAGGTATCTAGCATCTGGGTGTTCGTATAAAGATCTGCATTACTCCTACCGAGTTGGTGTCTCAACAATTAGCAATATTGTGAGAGAAGTTACTCGGAGTATATGGAATAATATGGGTACTAAATTTATGGCATGCCCTGATACGCCAGATAAATGGGAGGAAATAGCGAATGGATTCTGGATGAAAACGAATTTCCCGCATTGCCTCGGTGCGGTAGACGGGAAACATATAAGACTGAGAAAACCCGATAACACTGGCTCTATGTACTTCAACTACAAAGATTACTTCTCTATTGTTTTATTAGCAGTCGTAGATTCAGAATATCGTTTTATATACGTGAATATAGGGTCCTATGGAAAAGATTGTGATTCGTCAATCTGGAAAGAATCTACATTGTGGAAAAAGTTGACACAGGGCGCTTTAAACATACCAACACCCAGACCTTTAGAACAGACACAAATAAATGTACCCTTTGTGTTTATTGGCGATGAAGGTTTCGGATTGCATGACAATTTATTAAGGCCTTTTGGCGGTACACATTTAGACAAGAAAAAGCGAATATTTAATTACCGACTTACTCGCGCTAGAAGATATGTTGAATGTGCATTTGGCATCTTAGCTAATAGATGGAGGATATTTCATCGTCCTCTAGATGTTAAACTAGAAACAGCAATATGGATAGTAAAAGCGTGTACTGTGTTACATAATTTTGTCCGAGAAAAAGACGGGTTTAATTTTGAAAACGCTCATTTGCCAGAAATCCACCTTGACAACTTACCAAAAGCACAAAATATACGAGGAGGACTATCTGCCAATTCCATAAGAACAACTTTTGCTGACTATTTTCTAACAGAAGCTGGTTCTGTTTCTTGGCAAGATGAAGCCATCGGTTAGTAAATTTATGTATGTCAAAATAAACAATAAAATACTTACCAAAAGCCTGCCTCTCCTTTTGTTCCATATCTTCGAAATTCTCCTTTAACAGAGAACATATCTCTCTCCATGCTGACGACTTTAAATTTTTGTCTTTATATGTGTCAAGTGTTTTATCCCATAAAGCGGGTCTCGCTTCCACTAAACTTATCAACAGCTCCGTATTTATTTTCTCCATTGTATATATGTAGGTATATACCATAAATATGAGCAAACTATTTAAAGCCGAAAACAAGTGCCGTTCGGCAAGATAATCGAATCGCGACTGGAGGTGAAATGGCCAATATACATTGTACGTGCCACTGAAGGCCGATTCGGTTTTTTTCCCGAACACAACCGCATGCGACCATACGGTTGCCAGTGGCGCGAACCGAATGCAAGTCCGAACGAATCGGCAGTTTTCCCGTATATGGGGTACGACCGCATCGTGTGAATATGCAGATTTAAAATATTGCGCCACTGCGAGATTCGATACTTTTACCGGTTCGATTAAATGATCGTGACCGAGTCGTCTGAACGAGCTGTTAGGGAATACCAATTTTTTGATACTCCTAACCAAACAATGCACTTTTCGTTCACCAGTTGCTCCATAGAGGCGCTACCGTAGCTGGTCGCCGATTGATACGCGCTGCACTAATACATAATATGAAATTTGCGTTTGACAGCAACTATCGACCAATTCGGGTCGGTTGTCGGTCGGTTGGAAGCAGGCCTTTCCAACTCGAGCCCTTGGTGCTGGTGCGCTCCGGTGCTAAACCCAGCGGCACCGGTGCCGTTCCCCTCCACCTCGACCGCACAGCCGTCGCGACATAGAGAAACATTAGCCTAGCCGACTGTCTCTCGGGCGCGGGCCACTTCTTAATAGGACAAGACAAAGTGGACAGGTTTTTTAGCGTCTTAACACGTTCACTGCCCAAGCATTTGGGTATCGGACTCACTAGTACCAGTCGGAGAACTGTAGATCATTAGTGTCAAATGTTATAAAAACGAGGTAAAATAATGTTTTTTACCACGTACTCCAGTTTTTCGTGCAGAAAAGTACACCGCCGCATATGTTGCGGCATGAGCACTGACCCAGTGACGCACCATTGTCGACGGGAAATAATGAAATCACAGTTTCTGATATATGCATTCATTGCACATGCAAAATAAAACAAGCATTACATGTAATTAAATAATATCATTTTTAGCCAAGAAAACAATATATGACATATTTAGTCATAATCTTTTTCAAGTTCGTCCCACGTACCAGATAGATCATTATCAGTTTAGCTATATCAGTAGTGAATGTGATGGTATTGGATTCTCTTCCTGATAGTATAGCTCTCATTTTGATTACACTGTAGAGAAAATAAAAAAATGCTTACAATATTCCACAAAATAAGATAATGAACAAAAACGAAACTCTATTGAATTGAATTGAGAGGACAAGCAGAAACACTATTTCGCAATGTTTTTGTGAAAACTTTCAAAACATAAGTCGAGACAAAGTCCTGGTGTCTCCGGACACTTGGCACAGCAGTATTGCGAGTCTTTCCTAATACCTTGTTGTGAGCACCACCGACAACGTTTACGGAGTTTTCTTCTGCTTTCACCTACCTCACATTTACTAGGAAGATGAAAGTCATCACTATAAGGATTCGTCGTAGTAGTATTTGGATCTGGCAACAATGACTCAATTTCGGAGTGTCGATAATCCAGGTACGACAGTTTGGGTGCGGAGAATTTATTGTACAACATAAAGGAATTGTACATCATTTCTATTATATGAAGACCTACTTTTTTATACCATCTAATGGTCTTCCGGTGTGAGGGATAGTATGCCATCAGTTGATCCTGCAGATCAATACCAGACATGTATAGTTTGGCAAACGGATCTGCAACATCGGGGTATCGGTGAGGGGAAAGCAAAACATGGATGGTTTCATTCATAAAATGCCAGCGGCGTGCGGTATTTTATAAAAGTTTGGGATCGTTTCATAATTGGTTTAAATTTAGTAAACTATACGTTTATGTTTCACTTTAAATTTGGGAAGTATCTCAATAAGCCCACAATGATATGGAGCATTGTCCATAATAATAAATAAAGTCTCGGGTAAACTCAAAAATAGCTGTTCTCTACAGTCTACACCATGTAAAAAAACACTTGAGTTTGTTTCTACACTTGAACAAACGGAAAAATGTCTGCTCACTACACTACACACACCCAAAATTGCCACAATTCAAAAAATCATGATAACTGCGCGATTTAAAACCTAATTTGAAAATCAAGCTAGCGTTTTTGTCAAAGCCGTAAATAAAATATATTTTTCAAATACAAATAGATACTTAACGTGGTTTTTTACCTTGAGAATATATCTCGTACAGTAAACTTCCGATTATCCGGAATAATGTGGACCGGGCCATTTCCGGATAACCGAAATTTCCGGATAATCGAGAGTCGGATGCCGTCACGCAATGTGATCTTCATAATTTATTCCAACTCTAGTTAATACATCTGCATTTATTTATTTTTTAATATACGTAGTCGTGCCATAAGTTCTGTCCCATGATAATCTCATGATAAAAATGAAACAAGATAAGATATATTTATATGAAAGATATTATTTATTCGACAACATTTTTAGAATTCATAATCAAACAGTTTTATTCAAAATGTCCCCCCTTGGCCTTCACACACTGCTTCAATCTCGCGGGCCACTCATCTATCACTGCACGCACAGCTTCCAAAGGAATAGCTGCCGCTGATCGGATCAAATCCGCTTTCAGGGACTCGATATTACGGTGGGCTTTGGAGCAGGCCAACTGCTCTAGCAGGTCCCACAACTTGTAGTCTAAAGGATTGAGGTCCGGACTCCCTGAGGGCCAATCTTCCGCAGCAATGAACTCTGGCACATTGCTTTCCAGCCAGCGCTGCGTACTCTTAGCCTTGTGAGCGGGGGCGGAATCCTGCTGGTAGACCCAGTGTTGGTTGGCAAACAATGTACCACTTAAAGGCTTGACGATAGGATCCAGTATGTCGCTCTGATAGTTTGCCGCTTTTGTTTTCACGCCCTGTTTACAGAAATGGAGCTGAGTGACCCCTTCGTAGGACACCCCCCACCAAACCATGACTGACGCAGGGTGGTGGCCTCTCTCAACTCTCGGAATGATCTCCGAAGCTTCCTGTGAACTCCTTGCATACACTTTGTCATTTTGTCGGTTGAATTTTTCTTCTATGGTGAAGATTTTCTCATCCGTGAACAAAATCTTTCGGAATCCCCCAGCTGCGTACCTCTCCAAGAGCTTCTTGGATCTTGTCGCCCTGATGTGTCGCAAGGTGGCCGTAACTCGCTGGCCCGTACGTCTCCGGTAAGCCTCTAGCCCTAGGTCTTGTTTAATGATGCGCGACATCGTCCGGACAGGAATCTTCATTTCCCTGGATAGGATCTTCTGCTTCCGGAGTGGATTCCTTTGAATCCTGGCTTTTACGGCTTTGATGGCTGCTGGAGTCCTTACTTGACGAGGTCTTCCGCTTCTTGGCCTGTCATCAACAGAGGACGTCTCATTGTACCGCTGAATGGTCCTAGACACAAATTTACGCGATATTTGAAGGCCGCGTAAGAGTTCAAAAATCTGACTAGCACTGTGATTACACTTATGTAAAGCTATCACTGCAATACGGTTCTCTGCCTTGCCCCACTCCATCGTTATGCTTCGAGAGATCAATACAAACTGAGGTATATGTAATTACCCGAAAAGCGCTTAATCAACTGACACCACAATGTAAACAATCGGACAAGTATTAACAGGTCTACACTTGTTTGAAAACGAGGGACAGAACTTATGGCATGACTACGTACATACATAAATACATTGTATACATACTACATATTTATTCAATTATGTAAAACTTTGCGTAAATGAATCTAAATTCGTTTGAACTAGTTTTGACCTTCTTGCATTTGCTGCAAAATCACGCCATCTTCTTAAAAGAGCCACATCGCTTGGAGTTGCTTCTTTCTGCTGCTCTACATACCTAAGAAATAATTAGTTAGTATGTACATATTTATGAAACAGATTTTTTATGATACAAACCTTATAGCTATCTCCAGAGCATCTTTGCCATCGTGCTCTCTTTTTCTTGTGGTCTCAACAGGTTTGACCATGATTTTTCCAATGTCTCCATTTTAACTTTGTTCCACGAATCTGATACCCAATATACAACATCTTTAAGGTCAATTTGCTTTAAGCAATCCAGCAAGCTGCAATCGGTTTCATGTATTTTTTCCAATATGGATTGCAATAAAAGTTTTCGATAATGTCTCTGAAGGGTTTCTAGCACACCTTGATCCATAGGTTGGATTAGGGAAGTCACATTTGGAGGAAGGAACATAGCCTTTATTTCACCACTTACCAGATCCCTTTCTTTCGGGTGAGATGGTGCGTTATCTATTAACAAAAGAGCTTTCCTTGGGTACCCAGATTTCTTCAAAAATGTCTCTACTTTAGGTACGAATTCTTCAAAGAACCAATTTTGAAATAAGTTAGAATCCATCCACGCAATTTTTTGATGTCGATAATACACCGGTAAGGTGCTAGAAGATATGTGCTTAAAAGCCCTTGGTTTGGCAGACTTACCAATACACATAATGGGTAGTTTGTGTTTACCAGAAGAATTGGAGCAAGCGAGAAGTGTAATTCGTTCCTTCGATTTCTTGTACCCCGGTGCTCCTGCTTCAGTTCTTGATGCCTTAGTTTTAGATGGCATCATTTTAAAATTAAGGCCTGTTTCATCACAGTTATACAATTGATCCAACGTGTACTTTTCTGATTCTATAACGGCGTTGATTTGTTTTATAAAATCTTGTACTGCTGCTATATTTGCTGAGAGTTTTCCACCACGGATTCGCAATTCGCGTACTCCGTGCCGCTTCTTCCACCTAGTAAGCCAACCATCGCTAGCTGTAAAATCAAGAGGCGATTCAGTCACTGGTAGATCCTCGCTTAGTGAAAGTGCCTTTTCTTGCAAAATAGGTCCGGATATGGGAACCCCACGTTCCCGCTGTTGATTAAACCATAAATATAAACTCTGGTCTATTTTTTCGTGCTTTGCTGTTTTCATCATTTTACGCTCTTTGGTTGGTGCTGCTAAAACACTGCACCATTTTCTAATTTTGTTGCGATTTTTTTTTCCAGTCACCGACCGTGCTCACGCCGACATCGTATTTTTGTGCAACTGTTTTTAATGATGCGCCACTGTCCAACATTATACAGCATTTCAAAATTACATTTCACCTATTGAATTAGCATTGGTGTTCGTCAACTTCATCATTATCATCATCGTCACTGTCGTCATCAGTTTCGCTGTCGTCATCTTGCCCTATAGTTATTATAACTGGTTCCATTTCCTCCATAAATTGATCATTTTCCCAAAATTTATCTTCAATGTCCCTAACATGTTGACAAAATTTCTGCCAATCATTAATGGATATTAAGGACATCACTTCCTGAGTAACTTCTTTCAGTGCGGTTAAACTGAAGTTTCCAGTGGTATTGCGGCTTCTTATATGAAATTTAAGCTTTGCCCAAGCTAATTCTATTGGGTTTAGCTCGCATAAATAAGGAGGTGTTCTTAGAGGACTATGTCCATGTGATCTTATGATCCGATCAACTACATAATTTTTTTGGTTGTCAGGGGGCTTATGAAGTAAGACCAGATCGAACAAGTCAAATTTTCTGGCAGTTGCCTCATGATTTATGTCTGTAAAATATTTTATTGTATAGTTTGATATGTACATGCATGTTTTGAGTCATGACCTTTCTTTGTCAACCAGGCCATTATATCTTTTTTCGAAGATGATTTTGTCGGGGTTTTATCTTCCTGGACGGAATGATATGGAGCATTGTCAAATACTATAACCGAATTGGCAGGTAGATTCGGGAGGAGCTTTTCGGTGAGCCAGCGTGTGAAATTTTCCCGATTCATCTGACCGTGGTAATCGCCTGTAGCTAATCCCGCCTTAAATATCAAACAAGCATTGTCAACAAATCCATTTTCTGAACCTGCATGCACTATAATGAGTCGACCTAAAATATACAAGACGATTATATAATATGTTACAAATCAGAGTTAAATTTAACATATATATATAGCATTTTTGCTTACCTGTAGAACCTATACTGCTTATCACACCAGAAACAGTTTCGCTCTGCCAGCATTTTTTGAAAGTCAAGTCATTGTCCACCCAAGTTTCGTCCAGATGAACTATATTGCGCCCTTCTTCACGATATCTACGTATTTCACGGATGTATTTGTACCTCCATTGCAATATATTAGGCCTCTTCATCAAAACTTTTCTTTTATTTTGACATTTGCGCCAAAAAAAAAAACCATTTGATTTTAATAAACTCCTGAGTGTTTCCCTAGAATAGGGGAACTTTTGTAATAACTTCCTAGTTGTCGGGACAACTTTATATTCAAGATAAAATCTGTTTATCAAATGTCTAATAATCTGAGAATCAAAATCTTCATCTTTCTCAACAAGAGACTGACGCGGTCTTTTTTCCCGGGACTGGATAACATTTTATTGGGGTTATTTTCTTCACGATATCTACGTATTTCACGGATGTATTTGTACCTCCATTGCAATATATTAGGCCTCTCCATCAAAACTTTTCTTTTATTTTGACATTTGCGCCAAAAAAAAAACCATTTGATTTTAATAAACTCCTGAGTGTTTCCCTAGAATAGGGGAACTTTTGTAATAACTTCCTAGTTGTCGGGACAACTTTATATTCAAGATAAAATCTGTTTATCAAATGTCTAATAATCTGAGAATCAAAATCTTCATCTTTCTCAACAAGAGACTGACGCGATCTTTTTTTCCCGGGACTGAATAACATTTTATTGGGGTTATTTTCTAGTCTTTCTTTATCTTCGTTATGAATTTTCCTAACAGAAGATACTCCGACTCCGGTACAAAGGGACACCCTATCAAGCTTACGTTTAAGCAGCAACTTGAGGGAATTGTTTGCCGCTTCCTCATCGCAAACCTTATAAATAATCATCAGAATGTTAGCTTAGCATTTCCTTGTTTTTTATTTATATTCAGACTCAGTCGTCAAAAACTACAATTGAAGGGCTCGGTGCAAAAACCAGTCAACTCCATTTTTGATAATTTGTGGAAAATCAATAAAAACTTTCCAATATTGTTATTTGTACAAATTTTCTGTCGAAAAAAAATACCAAGTAAGTACTGCTATTGGAGAATAATATAATATCAAACTGATAACATTAATCTTTTTTGACAATTCAGAAAAAAAAAATTGAACTCTTGGAGTTGACTGTTTTTTGCACCGAACCTCCAAATATACACAAATAAAGCAACATTATTGCGTTCAGTATTTATTCATTATAAAAAAAACATAACTTCACGTTTTAGCTCAAAGCAACTCTAAAAAAACAAGAAACACAATAGAGATCACAGAAAAAATAACAAATGATGTGGTTAAAATAAGAACATTTCAGCAAAGAAAACTGATCAACATAATATAAAGAAACTAGAAATCTTCAGTTTCAACTTCGCCACTATCGCTGTCAAGTTCTTCTTCTCGTTGTTGTTCATCTTGATTTGTGACCCGTATTTGCTCGTAGTACCACTTATATATTGGTGGTACGTAGTGATCTGCCAAAGACATCACATTTGCTATTTTTTTGGGGTTTATTTTAAGTGGAAATGTGTTGTACAGTTTAGTATTTGGCCAAATTAAAACTGCGTTAGGTTTTTTGATGACAAATGATGAATATAAAGTTAGACCTGCTGTAGCACTACACTGTATTATGTTTTTTCTTTCATATTTGAAAAGACGATACTTTGAGATGGTAAATCTTTCTTTTTGTTGGTTACTTATGGCTTTTTTAAAAATAGGTTTAAAAGTATTCGAAAAATCGAGGATCATATCCTGGGTAACGTCTATTACGCGAAACTGTTTAGATGTATTCTTGACTAATTTTTTCCATTCAGAAGGTAAGTATACTATTTCTTTTTTTCGTTTTTCTTTTTCAATTAAACCAAAGCAACGGTCGCACGGCAGAAAGCTGTGACCGGGTTCTGGAAACTGATGTAAAATTTGCTGAATATTACTATTGAAAGCATTGATGAATGTGTGAAAGTACTGCACTATGGTTTGATTTTTGTTTTGGGCAAAACAGTTGTCCGAAAATAAATAGAGGGTTGTAACAGTTTCCGGGACAAAGTTTGTTAAATAGTGATGTAAACAACTGACTACTTCGTTACAACCTTTTTTGGCAGTGAGCTCATCGTACATATAAAAAGTAGCCTCTCTTTTCTTGGCAGAATGTACACAAAAGTTGTATTGCCATAGCTGCCTTTTATAGAACACATCGCCCGACGGAATATGCGGCAGTGGCAGGTTTTGTTGGTAATCAAAGCATAACACATCAACTGATTCATCTTCGCGAGCAAGATTTGTATATTCTCGTAATTTGGTATAAAATATTTCGGCCTTCTGTAAGTGTAGACGCTTTTCAGTTTCCAAGCGGGTTTTATTTTCTGCATTTGCTTCTGCGGAAATTGTGTTGTGCAGGCGGTCACATTTCTGGCAGGTATCTGATCTTGGATGTCCAAAACTAAGGTTATGATTGAGATTAAATTGCCGATGATAAAAATCATATGTTACTACTGGTTTAATGTCCTTCAAAATTTTCCCATCGTCTAGGAGAGCATACTTTTCTGGCTCATATTTTTGAAGGTAGAGGCGATGCATTGTTGCAATATTCAACTCAGGAGATAAAAAATACCTTTTCTGATTATCCTCCCTACTATAATGAGATTTTCTTCTGGGAAAACTCCGAATATGTTCTTCTATTTGCGCTATTATTTCTTCACTGATTTTGTTCGGCCTATTGGAATGCTTCCCACGCTTATCGGAAGGTGACATAATACTACCCAGCGTCAGATTTTTGGCAATCTGAGAAACTCTATTTTTTGATACTCCATGCAAAGAACAGAATGCTTTTTTGCATACTATGGTTTCCTGGCTTCCTGCCCGTAACTGAAAAAAAAGACATTTTAGAACCAATTATTATATTTTGCAACAAAAACATTACCTTATACTGATAGGTGTTGCTTTTTTCTCTACCCTCTCCTGTAGTCGGGCGTTTCCTCTTCACATTTGACACACTGATTAATCCCCCTAGGTAAATGTCTTGTTTAGTTTTATCTCCCGTACTATAAAACTGCTCAAGTATGTTCTGTCGTTGGGTATCGTCTATTTTAGTGAAACATCTTTTTCTACAATGGCAATTTGGTCCAGTAGTTTTCTTTTGAATTAGTTTATTTGCCGAATTAATATATTCTTCCCCTCTAGCCTGCTTACTCTTCATAATGTTTCGTTTCCATTTGCTTTCCATCCTCACCCGTTTCTTGCCTTTTTTCTTAACGGTTTGAATGTTTGGAATTTCTGTATTATTACTCACAGACGTTTTTTGCTGCTCATTACTTTTATGGGTACCTTTTTTAGCACTAACAAAATGCTTTGATCGCCGTCGACTAGGACCCGGAACATCAGAATCGGTGGAATCCGATAACACGTAGTCAGTCCCAGAATCTACATATGGGTCTTCCTCACTAAACTCGCTACTTGAACTGATACTCATAATGCAACGATCTTTTTTACACCTTATTCGTTCACGAGACACAATGCAATGTTGAAAACCAACTGAAATGCTACCGGCTTGCCATCGCACGTGGCCTGATTTTCCGATGTTGCCGATGTTACCATTGGTGGCAAGAAACGGTCATCTCCTGGAGTTGGCCGATTCTTGCACCTAAGTATTGATGCAGTCAACTCCTTGGCCCAAGTATTTACCATAATATTTGTTGGAGATGGCTGATTCTTGCACCAAAAGATGTACAAACATTTGTTATATACGATGCATATATAAACTGAATTTGGGTAAAAGATGAAGTTGACTGGTTTTTGCACCGAACCCTTCAATTATTGCATATTATTATTACTAACCTATAAACATTCGCAATCACTTCTCTTGTTTGGCTATGAAGCGTCTTTCCGCGAGTAAATTGGTTCATTTTAAAAAAATAATACTAAAACGAATAACAATAACAAATAACAAAACACTAAACTATTCAAAAATACACAGCACTAAACATACAAACTTAATAGAACAATAAGTAGTTAACAATAATAGTTGTACAACACGACGATCAACGGAAATAAAACCTACGCCACTGGACTTTTCAATAGTATGGATATTCTAAGGAGCAAAAAATTGTCTGGGACGCTACCCAATAGGGAGTCGAATTTTCTCATGGCGACAAAACATGTGAGGATATCCGCCAATCAGATTCGTTCAGGCGGTGTCCAATATACCTTTCGGGTGGTTGTTGCCAGCTCAACCGATGTCGATAAGATCTTTGGAAAAATGTTTACTTATAATACGATTCAGTAGTAAAAAAATAGTTATTAAATACAAATAGAGCTAACAACCCATTAAAATACTCAGTATTTTGAATTATTATTTTTTGGAATTGTGAAAAATCGATTTTCAAACCATTGAAATTACTTCCTTATTGCTTTTTTGTAGTTAAATTTGCCAATATCGAATATTTTCGGTCGCATTCCTTTCGCTGTTGCAGATGGCCAAACTTTACTTATTATATTCCGCTATAGGTGTAGGTTTCATTTTAGTATTCCCAGAATTAGAAGTTACTTCTTGGAGAGTATTTTCATGTTCGGTTGTGAACGTCCCTTTTATCCTTCCACTTTCCCACGCAAACATGTCCGCCATATCGTTGGACTGATTCACCAACCTTCAATTTGGCCTTTGATACGTCACCAGGGGTCTCTTTCCTTCCAGCCTGTAAAGTTCCTGTACAATACGTCATCCTATTGAGCAGCTGTCTAGCAAGGCCTACTGAATTATAGTAATTGTCCTATGACCTTTATTCAAATAATCACTTACAAGAACCACATTGGCAGCATGTCCCTTCCCGCCCATATCGTCAGCTGCTCCAGTATATATTTGTATTTTCATTATGGTCCCATTGCTCTCAGTTAGTAAATAAAATTCACTCCATATTTGTGTTTTTTGTTTTTGATATATTGGCGAAATAAAAGTCGCCCGCGCCATAAAAGCATGGATTCGTCTACTGAAAAGTTCTTTTGTGGACTATAAATGGCAAACATCTTATGGTTGAAGAAATCTACTAACGTTCGTACCTTATGTAATCTATCATTAGGCCGTGGTTGTGAGCAAAATGTAAACATCGTAAAACAACTAAGAATCTATTTCTGCTCATATAATTTCGGAATGATAGATTATAGAAACGATCTGTTCTCCAATAAACTCTAAGCCTTGGTACCTGAATAATTCCCATAAGAAATATGAGCCCCAGAAATTTCGAAATTTCTTGCTTATCCACCGGTTTCCAGCGACTTATTCGTGAGTGTGGTCCAGGGTTTTGATTACAAGTTCAGCATAACTATTCGTTTGCTGAACCAGCAAATCAAAACACTCGTCATCTGCCAAAAGCTTGAAAAAGTCAATGGGCTTGCCCTCACCTGGTATTCCAACCTTAAGTTCTTGCCGCCCAGTAAATTGAATTTTTTGAGGTTAGGAGGATTTTCTACCCAGTTCAGACCTGTTCCCAATGGTACTTCTTCCTCCATTTGTTCCGGGTCGCCCTCTTCCAAATCACTTACTACTTGCTCAGGCTGATCATCATTTACAGCAATGCCTCGCTCTGCATCTTCAGCTCCGCTCCAGTCACTGTCTGATTCTTGGTAAGGTTCTTCCTCGGAGTCAGAGTAAAACATCAAACTCAACATTTCATCCTCAGTTAGTTTGTTTGGATCCCTAATCGTTAGCCGTTTAGGTCTAGACGATCCTGGAATAGGATTATCCGCCATTTCTTTCAACACAGCGAGTAAGCACAACAATACATGCAAACACCCGACCAAAGATGAGAGATACTTTTTGTAACGTTAACAACGTGCCCACTCCGTAAACATAGCTCAACTGCATCTACATAGCATTTAATAGCGGTACCTCGTCGCCGACAATGTGTTGGCGTGGGCACTGCTATGGCGACGCTCATGCCGACACTGTGTCGGCATGGGCAGTGAACGTGTTAACGTGCAGCTTTTTTTAAACGATGTCATTCAATCCTGCATCCTTCTTTCCCCGCTAATTTTTCCAAGCCCGTTCCCTTGGCAGTGGTTTCGCTAGATAGTGGGTAGGGACCATTGACATGTTAAAGGTTATGGACCCGCCCGTACCTATCCTTGTACGTACAGCTGCTTGCAGCCAACGTTAGAAAGAAACATCCGAGAGAGAGACGGAGCTAACGCGGGCAAAAAGCCGCGCGCTTAACAGGATTTGGATGGTTTTAAAGTTATGATATCTTTATAAAAATAGATTTAGGCAAAGGGAATGGGATTTTTATACTTCTACTCGATAAAAAAACGATAATATATATAATATTAATTTTTATTCACGTACTTACAAAACAAAAACCTTAATCTACAGAATACAGTATGAAAAATTCTTAATGATAATTATTGATATTACAAAAAGTTATTCTATATAAAAAAAAAGAATTATTGATGGCTAAAGGTGATAGTTTTGGTCAGATGTTGCCTTATTCTATAGCGCGGTTCATTTTTTGTAGTGTTGATGTGGTGTATTCTAATTGAAAAGTAATTTTTTAATATAAGCCTAATTAATTGCAGGCAATGGCTCTGTAATGGATCCTGATCCTGGAAATGACTTTTCAAGCCAACGAATAGTGTGTCGAAATTGAGTTTCCTTATCGACAAAGGTATCAATTTTAGCATAAGGTTTAGAGCAGAAAAGTTTGATTCTGATTTGATTAAGCCTTCTGCACATATGCACACTTTCACAACATCTCTGGATGGCTTACAGAGACCTCCTCGATTTTTTTTATTTAAAAGCAGCGACAAAGAATTGTCCGAAGTTAAAGCATTAGCACATTCATTACAATTTAATGCTTTAACTAATTTCTTGCTGATAAACCCAGCAATATAGGGGAGCGCGGGGTTCGAAGTTCCGATTTTGAAGTAGGACCCAATATGAATGCAATAAACAGTTTTTTAATACATGATTACTATATGAATAGATGCGGAAATTATTCTAGTTTCACTTTCAACTGTTAAATTCATTGAAATGACAATCTATTTTGGCCTAGGACCAAGGGGCGTGTTGTTCCTTAGTTGAGGTAAGTTGTGCCGCTGTCATCTCCAGTCATTATAAAATAAATAAGACATACATGTATCCGATATTAATGACAGTTTTATTTATTAAACGTAAATGTGTAACATTTTAAACGAATTCACAAGACACTTTGAAGATTTAACGAAAACAATACTCTTAAAAGGTATTAAGAAGTGTGATTAGTAATAATGCTCGTAATAATGTAACATCTGCACCTAATTACTAAACTTAAGACTAACAAAACATCCCTATTATGAACGCAAATTATGTGTTTTCATCGAAACATTAAGAAAAATCAACCAAATGTAACATTTTGAAATATAGTTAGAGTTACCTACTTTATTCAGTCTCATACGGCTAACATTAATGAGATCAAAAATCTGATAGACGGTTTAGTTATCAATATTTTTTTCACAGAAAAGATAATTATTCAAAGTATTCGTCATCCGAATCACAATTCGGACAAACAAAAAAATGTATATCTTCAGATTTTAGGCATTTTGAATGAGCCCAATTCTTACACTTGACGCATTCAATCCATTGTTCTCCTGGTTTTGAATTGGAAAATGAGTCGCAGCATATCAAACAATACCATTGCAGACTGTCTTCTTCGCTGTCGCTTTCATGATCGTCTTGGAGGATTTTCCGTTTCACATTTTTTTTACCACTTACGGATTTACCTATCACTTTACAATTTTGCTTGTCTATACTGTTTGAGTTTGTTTTTCCAATTCTCTTTTCAATTTTGTTTCCCTTTGTTTTGGTTTTGCTTTTCACTCTTCTCGCTTTTTCTTCAGCTAAAGCGTTCTTTTCAGGCGTATCTGTCAGTATTGCTGATTTTCTAATTCGGTGCTTAGTTGCTGTAGATGATCTTGGTGGTGCTTTTGGTAAAGGTTTGATAGCTTCAGGGGAAAATATGCGAGATGTGGCTTGAATTACAACATTGTTTGAGAAATCGGCAATGTTTGAAGGTCCTGGTTGAGGTTGATTCGTCACGGGTCCTGTTGTCGCTGGACGTGGCTCGATATCTGGGATGCCTTCCATATTACAATTCAACCCAGGTTCTTCATGATCTGTTATTTTTTGGAGCTGTGATTCCTCATTATGAGTTGATTCCAATAACGATATGTTAGTGTCAGGCAGAGGTCGGTCAGTCACAAAAGACGGAGCAAAATCTTCATCCGTAAATATATCAGGGTTGTATGGACTTATGCCTGCTTTTTTAAACGCGTTCATTATGTTATTGGGAGTCGCTGCTACAGGCCATGCAATCTTTACAATTCCAGGTATCTCATAGATAGACATTGTCTTTCCTGGGTTGTTACGTAACCGGTTTTGTTGAGCTTTGGTACAATATGTTTTGAACGGTCCATTAACGCCAACGTCTAAAGGTTGCAAATGATTAGTGCAATGTGGAGGGAAAGACAACATTACAACCGAATTGACCTTTGCCTTTTCAACAACATCAATGTCAACATGTGATTGATGGTTATCAAGCAATAACAAGACTGGATCCTCAGGTGTAGGCTTTGTATATTTAATAAAATGGTCCATGAAGATAAGGAATTCTTTAGCCGTCATCCATCCCGAACTATTTCCTGCTCCAATACTTTCTGGGGGACCATCACGAAGAAATAGGTCTTTATACTTGAGGCGAGGAAAAACAAACATAGGGGGGATAGTATTTCCATCTGCATTCGCTGCTAATTCGACGGTAACTAAGGTTCCCCGCTCTGCAGATACTATGGCACCTACCTGCTTAGCTCCTTTTGAGGCTACTATTTTTTTTGGTTTTAGCACAGTGGTGACTCCTGTTTCGTCCAAGTTCCATATTCTAGACGGTCGGAAGCTGTGTTTCAATATGACGTCTCCAAACTTCTTGAAGAATTCCTTAACGTTGTGCCGGTTAAAAGAAGATGCACGACCTGCACTTGTTGCTTCAGGAGTTCTTATAGACAAGGATGGATTTCTTTTCAAAAAACCCGTAAACCAATCAGCTCCAGCTTCTTTATTTCTATGCCAAGAGGCAGGAATGTTATGCATGTCAAATTTAATAGCACAAGTATATGCCAATTTCCTTACTTCTTCTGGCAAGAGGCCAAAGTAGATTGAAGCACACTTCAACAAATAGTCGGCTAATGTCTTCTCCTGGTCATGGTTGAACACCTGTCTGGAATAATAGCCTACAGTGGGTGTTAAACCGGCCTTCAACTTTTTGACATAACGAAATAACGTCATGTGGCATATTTCCAGTTCTCGAGCGACCGTCTTAAGCTTACGACCATCTCTAATAACAGCATCAGCTGCCCGCTGCAGCAAGTCAATCGAAACTTTGCCTCGTTCGGTTTTCCGTTTGTAGTTTCTCATCCTAAAACAAATTTGATTTCTATTATTAACGTGTTACATTACGGGGCACGTTGTTCCGCGGTACAACTAGCCCCCCGCCAAAGGAACTTTCAACCCCAAATCCCATTTCCAAGGTATCCTCCAATTATAATAGAATAGCAGTCAAATTAAATGATTTAGACCAAAAAGACTAGAGACGAAAAAATTTACTTACGTGATTTTTATACACCACTAACGATTACCACTGTCACCTGCTGTCACGGCATCACTAAAATGACTGACATAATAGCGCGTTAGTACGACGGTTTGCAACACACTTCACACCTATTGTTATCTCTTTTCATCGCTGAGCTATTCGGATCGGAACAACCTACCCCCGGCACTTTGAACCCCGGTCTCCCCTACTCAACAATGTCACAAATATATGTGCAGTTGGCAATTGTGTTATAGTTTTTAATGAATAACTCATCTTCCGCATCTGAAGATTCTGTCTGTTCATATAATAAGTCAGTAGTAAAAATTGAGTGATTTTTGCTTTCAATGGTAACTTTTAAAATCGAGGTATTGTCCTGTGCCAGACAATTTGCACTATCTGAGGTAGTTATTTCACTATGAATTAAGAGTCTTTTATATGCATTTTCGAAATGCCAGGCAGTCGGGTTGTTCGAAAAGCCTCCCCTTGAACGGATTGCTGAAAAAAACATTTCAAGATGATCTTGACTTAGCTTATAAGTTAATAAAAACTGTAACTTATCACCCTCAACCACATCTTCAAATAAATTCCTAACACTTAACAAACAAACAATGAGTCCTAGAAAACCAGTTTTCCTGCCTGTTTCTATTACTTTATCGTGCTTTTGATCTGTCAATGAACTTAAATATTCTACAGATTCTTTGATAAAATTTTTGAAGGTTCCGCTGTTTCCCTTGAAAAGAGGCCTTTTACAAGGAGTTTTCCCATAGAAATTTCTAACATTTAAAACGTCAAAAATATTGTTAATTTTTCGACAGAAAGAAACAGTTGCTTCACTACCTCTAAATTTTGTAATATTCAAGTCCTGATTACAGTATTCTAGGGCATCACCAACACTAGCACTAAAGGTCTGGACAGCAAGCTTCACTTTCATTTTTTCTTTGTAATAGTTAATATGTCGAGACCTTAGTCTAGTGGCACAATGAAGCCCTGATTCCTCTTGCAGCTTCACCAGTTCTTTAAAATAATACCATTTAATGGAGTCTCCATTTCCATCACATAATATGCCCCAATCACCCAAAGTATTACGTACTAATTTAATCATGTGGCATGCGTCCAAAATGATATGTACTTTTTCCTTATTCACTGGGTTTATGAAATATGGTTTCATTCCAGGAAAACTGAGCTTTGCTCCCAGCAAATTTGCCATCGAAATGTTGGATGCACACCCATCAAATGTGATACTTTTAATCAGCACCCCAGTTGTTTCCAACTGAAGGAAAGACCCTTTAATTAACATTGCCTTTTCTTCAGCAGATAAAGCATCTACTAAAAAATAGGCAATGGGAACCTTCCACCTTTTATTGTAACCTACAAGCATTATCACAAATACATGTTTTGCATGTGGTAATTGGTCACTATTCTGCATACCAGTTCCATAATCAATGTATCCAACATTCCTACTACCAGTCCAATGTACATGCTCACGAATGGACATCTCGTCAATCACAAGACCTGCTATAAGTTGCTTTCCTTTTCCTTTTTCAATGTCAACTTTCATTTTGACAGCCCGTATTGCTTCTGCACTAAACCCCGGTGTACCATCAAAATAACTTTCAAGAAAATTGCATAGTTTGCTTGTGTTGCTAAGATAGCAAAAGGTCTTGTGCCAATTGCAATCATTCTTTTCCATAACTCATGGACATACGTCGGTAGTGCTCTAAATGATATAGGCACCCTGGCTGGAATGATGGAGGACTGTAAATTGATGGCGGAAACATTGGTGGGATCAGAAACTTTCAATCGTCGAAGTAAGGACGCTTGTAACTCCTCTTGGAATGCCTGATTCTTTTGTTAGTGTTCTAGGATGCGGGAGAGAATTTTTGCCAAACACTTTTCTAACATACTGATATGCAGAAGAAGAATAAAAATTTAATGTTAAAGCAAAGCATCTCAGTTGAGGGCTATATTTTCCTCCTTTGATGCCCTTTTTGAGGTGCCTAAACAGTATGGCTTTTTGTACTTCAGGAATACTTTCCTAGAAATATAAAAAAGAACCTTGCTTAAACAATGGTAATGGAGCCTGTTAGTGCGCTGCTTTTTTCATGGAGCATATATACATTAGGGTGGAGCGTTTATGTATGGATTAATTTTTTTTTCCAAATATTGAATTGTAATAGGGAGCAATTGGTGCAGTATATTATAGTAAAAATATATGTAATTTCTCAATTAATTTTTCCAACATCTTCTGCCTCCGCACTGACCCCACAAAATCTAAATTTTAACTAAAAAATATTAGTACACATTTTACCAACTATTGAGCTTAGTTTAATGATATATGGGTGATGAATCACTTGCAAAATTAATCTAAGATATTTATTGAAGAACTACAATTAAAAATACGGTAACATTTTAAGAACAATAGTAAGAAAATATATACATATTTATATATTACTTTCCTTTAAAATTTCTTTTTGTCTCAAATTTAGGCATTATATTCCGAGATTCCAGTTTGGCTTTTATTGCACCCAATCGTGCCTTTTCCGTACATTGGGACGTGGCTGCCTCTGTCGTCACTTTTACAGCTCGTTCTACAGCTTGTGTGTGACACGGAAGCTTCAAAAAGGTCAATTGATTCTCATCCCCAGTTTCGACGACGCGCCAAATTTCTTGGTCAGAAAAGATTTTTAAAATAGGGGGTTCCGTTATTTTTTCCTGCCAATTTATTAAATCAACGTATGTAGAAGCATTAAAATTAATGCAAGGCAACTCAAATAATCTAATTGTTGATGTTTGCTGCGTGCTACGTGCTTTCAATACACGCCTGGCTGCCAGTTCTCGAATATGTTTCTTGGCATCAGTTAACATTGCAAGAAGCGTGTTCTCCGGATGTGCAAAGTAGCTATTCCGTTGAATGACAGGATCGATTATCTTTTTAAGATCTTCTGACAGGTATCTGGAGGCAGAAATTATAAAGAAAAGATGTCGCGTTCCATCCTTGCAGAAGGGTTTGTTTTTAATAAGGAACCAAGATGGTGCGTAAACTTTAACAACAAATTTTGCCAGAGTTAGCAGTTTCTCTGATGGTGTTTCGGTTGCTACATACAAACGCAATATTCTATTGGCACGTGTGAGCCAACGGGCATGTGAAAGTTTGCCGGGAGATTTATTTGACAGATCCTCTGGAAAAATACCTGTAAGAACCGCTGTGACAATATTATGTAAGTACTGTTGATCTGTACTCAAATCTTTGGCCATTTCTGGAAGCATTTCTCCTTCAATAGGTTGAAATTTTCTAATAGGTAGTTGTTCACAGGTCTCTAGTGCTTTTCCTAAAGGTCCAGAGAAAGACTTAGGTCCCGAAGTACACCCATCAAGATGAAGAAACAAGTGTC